CGACCTCCGATGCACGTTGGAGACGTTCACAACCGGATTACAGGAAGCGTTGCTTCACGCAGTTCAAACCGCACTCACCACCGTGCTCCAGCAACAACAGGAAGCTCCTTTTGTTCGCCAACAGCAACGCTCACGCGAGCAGATATTCGACGAAGAAGAAGACGACCTCGCCGAAAATATCTTCGCAGACCCTGATTTTGACGATCACCACCGTTTTAATGCTCGCCAACAACATCCTCGTCACAACAACCGTGACGAACACCATCACGACGGTTTTGATCGCCACCGTCACGACCGCGACGTACGCGAAAACAGAGAAGTGGCCAATCCCTCCTCTCGCTGGGATTCAGGATTTAAGCTTGATATTCCTGATTTTGCTGGTACCCTTAATCCTGAAGAATTTCTCGACTGGCTTAGTTCTGTTGAAGAAATTTTGGAGTTCAAACGTGTTCCTGATGAGATGCGCGTTCCGTTGGTCGCCACACGGTTTAAACAGCGTGCAATGGCTTGATGGCAACAACTCAAAGACTCACGTCGTCGATCTGGCAAACCTCGTATTGAGTCTTGGGAACGTCTCAAAAAGCATATGCGTCGTAGTTTTCTTCCTTACAACTATGAGCGTACACTCTACAACAAACTTCAAGCTCTTCGTCAAGGAAATCGCTCTGTGGATGACTACGCCATTGATTTTTTCTACATGATAGCTCAGACAACGCTTATGGAAACAGAGGAACAATTAGTTTCTCGATTCATTGGTGGACTACGATATCAGCTACAGATCGCACTACAACAATTCAATCCTGTTTCAGTGTCTGAAGCTCATCAGCGTGCTCTGGCCATGGAAATTAGTATCGTACATCTTGGGCACCAACTGGCTCTTGTTCTCGTTCTCAAAATCAGAACGTTGGTGACTCTTCTGCAGCACCACTCGTTGATTCATCCGTCTCTAAACCTGTTCATCCCAAGAACGGAGCTGCCGCGGATTCGATTGCTGCTAATCGTATTCCCCGCACTAATGCACTTCGTTGTTTCACTTGTGGAGAACAGGGACATCGATGACAGACCAGAAGAACTCATTCAGGGGGACACTGGACATCTTTTAGTTCTCCGACGATCTTGTTTCATGCCCCGTGCTTCACAGGAATCTTGGATGCGTTCCAACCTATTTCGCACTACTTGCACCATTAAAAATAAGGTCTGCACCTTGATCATAGATTCAGGCAGCTGCACTAACGTGATTTCGCAAGTGGCAGTGCAGAAGTTGGGTCTTACTACAGCCGCTCATCCTGCTCCTTATAAGTTGTCTTGGTTCAACGATGGTACTGAAGTGTCAATCTCACAACAAGCGACTGTAGATTTCTCAATTGGCTCCTACAACGATTCTATCTCTTGCGATGTCACACCTATGGATGCCTGTCACCTTCTTTTGGGGCGTCCATGGCAGTTTGACCGTGATGCTACTCACAAAGGACGAAGCAACACCTACAGTTTCTCCTTTGACAACCGCATTGTTACTCTCCTGCCGTCACAAGACTCCCCTGATTCCAAGCCAGCGTCATCGAAGCAATCTTTACCGCAACCACCAGTGACTTCGGTTAAGTCTTTGTTGACCTTGTCTAAAGCAGCATTCGAAGCAGAGTTATCTGCGACACAGATGATTTGGGCACTTGTCTCTACCCCCGCAGTTTCTCCTCCACATATGGACATTCCTCTCGCCTTTGAACCTGTTCTTTCCGAGTTTGCTGATGTCTTTCCAGACGATTTGCCTAGCGGATTGCCTCCTTTACGAGATATTCAGCATCATATTGATCTTGTTCCTAATGCGGTTCTGCCAAATCGACCTCACTATCGTATGAGTCCGCAGGAGCATGATGAATTACGTCGTCAAGTTGAAGAGTTGCTCCAGCGTGGTCATATTCGTGAGAGTTTAAGCCCGACAGCTGTTCCTGCTCTCTTGATCCCCAAAAAGGATGGTAGTTGGCGTATGTGTGTTGATAGTCGTGCTATCAACAAAATCACAGTACGTTATCGTTTTCCGATTCCTCGTCTTGATGACCTGCTTGATCAGATTGGGCGTGCGTCTCTATTTACGAAGTTGGATCTCAAAAGTGGTTATCATCAAATACGTATTCGTCCTGGTGATGAATGGAAAACAGCTTTCAAGACTCGGGATGACTTATTTGAATGGATGGTTATGCCCTTTGGCCTCTCTAATGCTCCCAGTACGTTTATGAGGGTGATGAACCAAGCTCTCAGGCCTTTCATTGGTAAATTCGTTGTTGTCTATTTTGATGAGATACTTATTTTTAGCCATGATTTAGCAAGCCACTTAGACCACCTTTCTGCGGTTCTTACTGTTCTTCGTCGCGACAAACTCTTTGCTGCTCGGACGAAGTGTGTCTTTGGTGCTTCAGAGGTTCTCTTTTTGGGCTATTTGATTTCATCGCAGGGTTTGAAAGTTGATCCCAGCAAAGTTGAAGCTATCAGATCTTGGCCGACTCCGCGTTCTATCACTGACGTTCGTAGTTTTCATGGTTTAGCCTCGTTTTATCGCCGTTTTGTTCATCATTTTAGCAACATTACTGCACCATTGACGGATTGTATAAAAGGAACCTCTTTTCTTTGGACCCCGGAGGCGGATGCAGCTTTTGAGGCGCTCAAACAGAGGTTGAATTCAGCTCCTATACTAGCTCTTCCTGACTTTTCTCTGTCGTTTGAGTTGCATTGTGATGCCTGTAAGTATGGCATTGGGGCTGTTTTAAGTCAAGTAGGACGCCCTGTTGCTTTTTACAGCGAGAAAATAGCCGGCTCTAGAGCTCGTTACAGCACTTACGACGTTGAATTTTATGCCATCGTTCAAGCAATCAAGCATTGGCGTCATTATCTTTTTCACCAAGAGTTCATTCTTTATACGGATCATGATGCTTTAAAGCATCTGAACAGCCAAGATAAGATCTCTGCAAGACATGCCGCGTGGATAGCTTTCTTACAGCAGTTTACATTCGTGATCAAACATCAGTCTGGTCGAACAAACAAGGTGGCTGATGCTCTAAGCCGTCGTCACTCCCTTTTCACGACCCTACAGGCTTCGGTTCCAGGCTTTGTGGCATTTTCGGAGTTGTATCCCCTTGATCCTTTTTTCGGCAGGATTTGGTCAACTTTACAAGATGGCCATCTTTCCGACTATGTGCTTCAAGATGGTTTTATATTCCGCGATACTCGCCTCTGTGTGCCTGATTGTAGTTGGCGGTTGCAGATTATCAAAGAATTACATGGGGAAGGCCATATGGGCCGTGATCGAACTCTGCAACTGGTTATTGAGTCTTACTTTTGGCCTACTGTTCGACGTGATGTTTCTCGGTTTGTTGAGCGCTGTAGTGTTTGTCAGCTCAACAAAGGTCATGCGTCAAATGGTGGTCTCTATTTACCTTTGCCAATTCCCACTCAGCCTTGGACAGACATCAGCATGGATTTTGTTTTAGGACTTCCGCGCACACAGCGTGGGTTTGACTCCATCTTTGTTGTAGTTGATCGTTTCTCCAAGATGGCACATTTTGTCCCTTGCAAGAAGACCACTGACGCCTTGCAAGTTGCTCAATTGTTTTTCCGAGAGATATATCGCCTTCACGGCTTACCTTTGTCTATTGTCTCTGATAGAGACTCTCGCTTTTTAAGTCACTTTTGGAGGTCTCTTTGGAAACTTCTGCGTACAAGTCTTGACATGAGTTCTGCTTATCACCCCCAATCAGATGGCCAGACAGAGGTCACCAATCGTTCTTTAGGTAACATGCTTCGCTGTTTGGTAGGCGATAATATCAGATCTTGGGATGCAGTTTTAGGCCAAGCCGAGTTCGCCTACAACCATGCTGTGAACAGGAGCACTCATTTTTCTCCATTTCGTGTTGTTTATGGTCTTGTACCTCGTGGTCCTCTTGATCTTAACAATGCCCCTGACCTTGTCCGCGAACATGGAGATGCAGTTGATTTTGTTGGTTCTCTATCGTCTATTCATGCCCAGGTTCACGATAACTTGCAGGTTTCTTCAGCAAAGTACAAAGCCGCCGTTGATAGGCATCGGCGGGATGTACAATTTTCTGTAGGAGACTTTGTTTGGGCCGTTTTGACAAAAGACAGATTTCCAGCGCGTGAGTACAACAAGCTTAAAGCACGCAAACTTGGACCATTGGAAATAGTGGAGAAGATCAACGCAAATGCGTACCGTGTCAAGCTTCCTCCTGGTGTACGTACTTCCGACGTCTTCAATGTTAAACACCTAGTCCCATTTCAGGCGCAAGATGATGTTGAAGATTCAGGGACGAATCTTTCTCTACCCCGGGTGACCTGATGCAGCGTGCTTCTACTTTGATTATTCCCTTTTATTAAGTCTTTTCCTTTTCTTAGATAAACATTGGTTTTGTTAGTTTTCCTTTTCTTTCGGGTGTTTTGATTACTTTTAAGAAAAAGATTTCATATTTCTTTACCTATATATAGTCGATGCTAAGCCCTTTGTAAGGCACGACTTATTTTGATTTATAAAACAGAGCTTTAAAACTCTATCTTCCTTGTTATCGGCTAGAACAGAGCGTTCTCAACGACATCAAGAAGACATCGTTTCTTAGGTATTCTCAGACTAAATAAGATCGATTGCGCTATCGTAGCTGTTGCTACATCACATTTCCCTTCATAGACGTCATTGTATGATATGCTGATTGAATAATAGACTAATAGTAGAAGAAATGCATTTGTTGAAAGAAAAAAATTAATTTTTTTTGCAAGGCTTCATACTAGGTTAAGCTCTTTTGTAAAACGGTAAAACCTCAACTTTCATTCCTTAATGATGTTTACTCTTAAGCAAGAAAATAAAATCTATATTATTATTTATTAGTATTCAGTCCAATAGCGAGGGTGCGAGTGCGACCAATAAAAATGTAGTGTGTTAAAAATTGAAAGTCTCTATGTGATCGAGAGGCTTTCTCGGTGTTTTTTGGCGGAAGGGGTGCCTTTAATTTCGTCAGTGACGCTGAAATAACAAGATCGGGAAAAATTATTTTGCGCCGAGAAAATGGAGGATCTGTGGAAGAGAGCGAAATCGTTTGCGGAGGAAGCAGCCAAGAAATCTCAGAACATAACCTTACAATCTTCTTCCACGACCTTCGCTAATCTCGTCTCCGAGACCGCTAAGAAATCCAAAGAATTCGCTCTCGAAGCCTCTAAGAAGGCCGATCAGCTCAATGTCTCCGATCTCGTCGCCGAGACGGCGAAAAAATCGAAGGAGTTCGCTGCTGAGGTTTCCACCAAGGCGGATCAGCTCAAAGTCGTCGCGTTGAAACAAGCCGATCAGATCCAGAATATTAAGTCCATCGCCGACATTATCCCTCCTCAGCTTGCGTCGTTTGGGTCCGGATCGGGATCAGGATCTAGCTCTGTGATCTCCGAATCTGAGCTTCTTAGCTTCGGTATCACGGATGATCTGAGAGAGTTCGTCAAAGGATTGACCTCTGCTACATTCCAGGCTTTCCCTGAACAAGGTATGGTTGGGTTGTTTGGTTATCCTTTTTTGGGGGTGGTTCTTAGTTTCGTAGTAAAAAATTTGCAATGTGTATAGATGAATCGTCGGAAGTTTCTGATACGGCAACAACTGCGTCGAATGTTCGGAAGGATCTCTCGGAGTGGCAGGAGAGACATGCCACTCTTGTTCTTGGCTCTGTCAAGGTATACTTGCTCATCTTTCAATTTAGGTTCGAGATTGAGAATGGAATTAGCTTTATATGTTGTACATTGTGGTAAAGCGGATCTTGCATTCTTGTTAACTTCTGGATTCATCTCTTCTATTTTGTTCTTTCCTGTTTAATGTTTGGATTTTGTGTATATGTTGCAGCAAATTTCGAAGTTAAGATATGAGTTATGCCCGAGAGTCATGAAAGAAAGGAGATTCTGGAGGATATACTTCACCTTAGTGAGCACTCATGTTGCACCGTAAGGCTCTATCATCTTTTCTCAAAGTCTACTTTTTAAAAAAAAAGTGTAGGCACTTTAGTAGAGTAATGAGTAAAGACTCAGATTGAGAATCTTGTTAAGTGCATAGGAGGTGGTAAAGATAACTCAAGATTTCTATTATTTCCTAAGACTTAAGTCTCATAGCTTAAGACAAGTGATTAGTGAATTGAGACTATATAGCTGCAGTAATTACCATTTACCCATGTATTAAGCCAAAAGGGTTTGTTTTTTTGGCTCAGATATGAGAGAAAGTACATGGAGGAACTTAGGAGCAAAGCAGAGAGTAAAGATGAAGAAGCTAGGAAGACTCCAACGGTTGGAGGGACAGAAATAGCTGAAAACAGTGTGACAAAGAATAGAACATCGACTGCATCGTCTGAGCAAGATCTTGATACATTCCTCTTGGGAGATCTAGAAGACAGTGACGAAGCTCCTGGTGAGACCCTGACTTGTTGCTTCCCAAGTTTTTCGCTGTGATTTGCTTTTCTTAAATATTGATTTTTGTCTGTGTATTGTAAAACTAAAACCTTGCAGATGATGGTGATGGTGATGGTGATGGAAGCCTGGATGATGATGACTTTGACAAGATTGGCAACTCCGTAAGCATTTCTTTTACATTTCTTCTTTCTGGTCTTGAGAAGATACAACAAGAGAATATTTTGGATTAAATTCTGTTTTAACCTGTTTGCAGGATGTTGAAGAAGAGAAAGAGAAAGTGAAAGAGAAAGAGACAAATGCAGCAAAGTAGAAATATATATAGTTTTGTACAACCCATTTGAGGGAAGTTACCGATGGTATATGACCTTGTCTCATCATCTGTGTATAGCTTTTGCTTATAGCGAAGATGCAAAAGAAGACAGATTTTATTCATTCGATTCGCAGATTATATAAAAAACGAGACTTTATTTTTGTTGTAGACTTGTAGTAAAACAAAGCTTACAACTTTGAAGGTCTCTCTTTGTCTTTGATAAATACACGAATGTCAAATCTTTTTTCCCAAACTATGTCGCCTTTATGGCAGTAACATCTCTTCTCCGGCGTTTCAAGTCGCCGACAATATCGTCTGTTTGGTCTCTAGCGATATGGAAGTCAAATTCTTCTTCCTCCTCTTTCTCGACGCAATGTTTTGTTCGAAGAACGGCCTCACTCACTATTCCGACGGAATCTCCACCGGTTCCGAAGAAGATCCCATTCGCGGTCTCAACTCATGGGATCACGAGGCAAGATCCTTACCGTTGGATGCGTAATACGGACGACGCAGATTTCCTCGAGTTCCTCGAGCGTGAGAACTCGTACGCTCAAGCTTTCATGGCTGACACAGAAACCCTAAGGCGTGATTTGGTCTCCGAGATGAAAACCCGCATGCCTGCAGAGATTTTCACTCCTCCCGAGCGTTGGGGACCATGGTTCATCTCTCTCATCCTGCAACATTTCTGAATTGAGGCAAAAAAAGAGTGAGCTTGATCAATCGGGTTTAAATGTCAATTGAGCAGGTTATATAGGCAATACATACCCAAAGGAAAGGAATATCCTCTTCTCTGTAGGAGACTGGAGAAGTTGGGAACGAATTGGTTCGCTGGTCTATTCAGTGGAGGACATGAGGAAGAAGAAGAAGTTGTTCTTGACTGGAATCAAATTGCTGAGCAGTATGGTAAGTTTCTTATTGGTTCCTTAGGACAATAATGTTGCAGTATTGGTTTGCAGTGAAGGCAAATTCATGTGTGTGTGCTTCAGGTTATGTTCACGTTGGTGTTTGTCGGGTTTCACCTGATCACAACTATCTGGCGTACACGGTTGATCCTACAGGAGGTGAACGTTTCCTTCTCCAAATTAAGGATCTGAGAAGTGGTCGTTTAGTACCGAGGTTGGAAGTTGATGGAGTTGTAAGCCTGGCATGGGCTTTAGATGGAATCACCTTGTTTTACACTGTTACAGATGAGAACCAAAGACCTCACAGGCAAACACAGTGACTCATAGAAGTTGATAACTTTGTCGTTTTTATGAAACGTTGAGGAGGCGTTTGTTCAATTCAGTTGTGGCGTGTTTTTGCAGGGTTGTTGTTACAAATGTTGAATCAGACGAGACAGATGATACCGTAGTGTTTTCCGAAAGAGATTCAAGCTTCTGTGTAGACATAACAACCACAAAAGATGGCAAGTTTGTTACTATCAATTCGAACTCGAGGACTTCATCTGAGGAATTAACCTGTTTCAAACTTTCAGTTTAATTTTCCATTTTAAAAGTTTTCTACCTTTACTGGATGCTCAAGTTGGGTTATCTTTTCAGGTTTATATAGTAAATGCTGATAAGCCACTGACTGGTATGCAAAGAGCTCGTGAGCGAGTCCCCGGCGTGCAGTGCTTTCTTGAACATCACAATGGGTTCTTTTACATTCTTACAAATGCTCCCACAAATGCAATCAACGAGTGGTCTGGTGAAGGCTATTATTTGACTAGATGCCTAGTGGAGGAAATTGAATCATCTGAGTGGCAGGTTTTTGTTCTTTACACTTATCATTTTCTTTAACTTTTTGCAGATAGCGAACGAACACTACTGAATTTTCTTGTCAGATTGTTTTCTACCCAGATGATGATGTTGTGATACAAGATATGGACATGTTCAATGACTACCTGGTGCTTTTCCTTACTAAGAAGGGCTTACCTATGCTATGTTCAATTGATATGCCCATGAAAGCAAATATAAAGGTGTTTAAAGACTTGTGATTAATACTCTTTGTTTATTCATACGCTATCAGCTATTGCTTGACTAACGTATACGCTCCATTCTGCTCTATTTTGCAGCACATGGAGGATCTTAATCCCTGGCACTTTCCTCTTCCAGCTGATCCATGCAGTGTCGCACCGTGTTCAAACCACAACTTTGAAAGCTCAATATACCGAGTGGTGCTTACATCTCCTGTGGTATATAAACCTCCTTTAAGAAATGGGTTCCTCTGTTTGTTGTAGCTTAGATGCCATAAGATAGTTTATTTTCACTTGTACTATTTCTCTGAGTACTTGACTGTTATATTGGGATTGCAGATTCCTGACACTATCATCGAATATAATGTGTCAAGAAGATCATTTTCAATAGTCCAGCAGGAGGAGGGAAGGGTTATAGATAATTCTGATAGTAGTAAGCCATGCTACTCTGCAGATCACTCTACAGACAATAGCAGTGACCGCAATAATAGAATTAATGAGGGACAAAGTGGTCAGTTAGACTCTCAAAAGCCTAAATGGGAAGACTTATCTGATGCATATGTTTGTGAAAGACGAGAAGTTTCTTCGCACGATGGAGTTGAAGTCCCTCTTACAATTCTGTATTCACGAGAATCGTGGAAGAAGAGTGAATCCCCGGGAATATTGATAGGTTATGGTGCATATGGAGAAGCTTTGGACAAAAGCTGGTGCACAAACCGATTGAGTATGCTTGATCGTGGTTGGGTTATCGCCTTTGCTGATGTGAGGTAGTTATAAAACATAACAGAGTCCTCACCTTATCATTTTTGCATAACATGTGATATACTGTTGTCAACTATGAATATGCTTTGGTTTGTCATAACTTGTCATGATTGAAGTGCTTGTTTTGAATGTGCTGCTATAAGAGTTTCATTTTTGGCCTCAGGGGAGGAGGTGGTGGGGAATTTTCATGGCACAAATCTGGAACAGGATCGTTGAAACTAAACTCCATCCAAGATTTCATATACAGTGCCAATTATCTAATCGACAATGGATATGTTCATAGACATCATCTTGCTGCTATTGGGTACAGCGCAGGATCTATTCTTCCAGCTGCAGCCATGAATATGCATCCGAGTCTATTTCAAGCTGCAATTTTAAAGGTTAGAGTCTTAGAGCGTTACAAATGCATTCAGTTGTTTTTTTTTGTGTGTCCATAATAAGCAAAAGCTCGTATCATCATTGGACAGGTTCCTTTTGTAGACGTGTTAAACACATTATCGGATTCAAACTTACCTCTTACACTTTTGGACCATGAAGAATTTGGTAATCCAAACATCCAAACCGACTTCCGATCCATCCTTAGCTATTCTCCATATGATAACATACGCAGAGATGTTTGCTATCCGTCGATGCTTGTCACAACTTCGTTTCATGACTCAAGGCAAGCTTCACTACCTTAACTCCGTGCCTTCTATATATATAATTTTTTGTATAACAAGAATATTAGGATCACAAAGCGCGACTTGCTTGTGTTGTTGGGTCAGGGTTGGAGTATGGGAAGGTGCAAAATGGGTGGCTAAGATACGGGAGAGTACATGCCATGATTGCTCACGAGCTGTGATTCTGAGAACAAATATGAACGGAGGCCATTTTGGTGAAGGTGGTCGTTATGCTCGATGCGAAGAGACTGCCTTTGATTATGCTTTTCTTATCAAAGTTATGTCATCACAACAGTGAATAGATAAATCAATCGTCTATGGTTTTGCTTGAACTGATTTTAGTAGAAAGTCTTTCACGTAAAGTTACAAAACCAGTTTTAAAGATTACCCTTCATCTAAGTCTCTCCTACAAAAAAAAGATAAAGGGGAAAAAATGATTCAATACCTTGAAACCCAATCTGATATTCCACAAGAGATTATAATGATACGTTACATGAATGATGCGTAAGATGGTACAAACTCAAAACCACGAGTACGTAGATTCAACTAACCATAAATTTATCTTAACGACTATAGGAAGCCTCTAGAAGCCGAACAAATGTACACAAAAGAAGAATTCTGTCAATACATTTATATATTCCAGAGCAGTGGAGCCTAAAGAGAGAAGAACTGTCACAGCGTTTTCATCCGCTTTTGAGAATGTTCAGATTCTTCCTCAACGTTTGGATCCCTTATTTGTGTGGCGCCTTCAATATCAGATGATGATGGATTCTGCTTTTGAGAAAATGTAATAAGATCATGATATATAGTTCCTCTCACACTAAACATGAAGCATTTCGAAAATGAGAGAGAACCTTATTCGATGGATTGTCACGAGTTAGTCCTTGATTCGCTCGCTTTCCAAGATCGATCTGCACAGAAAGTTTAGCATGCGACAGATCAATGCCTGCGTTCTGGAGTGCTTGTGTTAATGAGCTCAATAACCTGTTCATATCAGAAGTAATGTAGCGAAGATTAGTAGACATTAATAAGAAGCAGAAATGACGAATAGCTAGAAAAAATCAGGTTTAACTCACTCATGCGAGTAGACAGTAGAAATGCTAATGGTTCCACCTTCAATGACCATGTCATTACTTTGGCCTAGCCCATCATTAGTTGCAGGGCATTCATTATTAGCTTGTTCACCATGTACCAATGGAGGTATTGGTTGTACAGGCGGTAATCCCTTGTCGTCTAACTCAGGTTGAATGTCTATTGGTTTGCAAACCATAGCTCTTCCTTTGTCAGATTCAACCGGATTTTGCATTTCTGCAATAATTGCAGGTGTGGAGACCACTGTGTTTTCATCAAACTTTCCAGGAAATGGTATCACTGGACCAGATCCATTACTTACAGCTACTGGATGGTTGGCTAAACTCTGAACTCGCCAGTGATTATTCCTCTGTTCCAATCAGAAATACGTAAAGATTCAGCTACAAGTTATACAAAACTCGCAGCAGAAAAGACTTTCAGGTGCAAATGGCAGTGGAATGAAAATAGTCAGGGCACCAAAAGAATCATCGGAGATTTTGTGAGAAACCGAGATATGCAACAGCAAAAAAGGGTATAAAGTATAAGAAAGGTGAAAATTTTACCCATGGTGTCAACTTTGTTGGTTCTTGACTCCATCCTGGATATGATCCTTCATACTTTTGCACCTTCTCTTGTAAATACTGGACATAGTCTATCACCTAGAATTGAATAGCAGCATTTAGGCTAACAAGATCTAAACGCCCGAATCTTCACATAAAACATCATCAAAAATATCCATGTGATACCTCTAAAAGGAACGAAGCGGTATCTCTTTTCTGTTCACTGTTGGGAATTAGCTCTCTCAATATCTGAAATCTGACAAGAGATTTACAGATTCAGCACTCACAAGAATAACAAAAGATGATAATGTAACTAAGTCGAATAGAAAAACATGGAAGTGACACACTGATTGTTTTCAATACAACACAAACTGAGGCCAAGCAAATTCCCAAATACAAGTCCTAAGTAAGAGTTTTGGTAGCAAAGTTATTGAATTTCGGGTCAGTTATTGTAGTTCCAAATCAAACTACCTATAAAGCTTAAATTTTTGCTGTTTATTCAACAATACCTTTCATTGATTTTGCTTCTTCTCCGCTGCTCAGTGACCGAATGTTTAGAACGTATCGCACTTGCCTTATCATTTTCCTTTGAATCTGCTTTCAAAATATAAACACCGAATCAGAGAAACCCAGAAATTATTTTCCCTTCCGGATTCATCATCCCAAAACTCTTGAAAACAAATCCATCGCGATTCGAATCGGCATAGCTACAATCAAAACCAAATCGAAGAGCTAAAGCTATGAAAAATGTAAATCCCACAGAATTGGGATCGAACAATAATACCTCTGCTCGCGGCGGTATTACTATTGTTGGAAGAAGGACCTTCCCGTTTCGAGCCAAAGTCTTCTTCTCCATAATCTTCCTCCTCTAGATTTCCCTTTCCGGTTCTCATCTTCGCCGGAGAATTATGCAAAACAAGTGTTCAACTTCAACAGTTATTGTTTATAATTCAAGCTTTTCCAAGTTGTCTTTTTTTTTTTCTCTTTACTTTCCCGTCGACGAGCTATTGCGTTTTTTTTTTTTTTTTTGGCGACTCGTGACTCGGGTGAGCTGTAATTACCTGCGGCAGAGACTCGTGAGCTCACCTCAAGTTTTAGCCGTACGTTTCCTGATTAGGACACGTGTACGAAGCGATGTTGAAACCCGGTTATGCCCAGTTAACGAACCGTAAGTCGTGACGACACGTGGGATTCACGTGATAAGACGGGTTTCTAACCTATCAGGATAAAGACTGTCACGTGATGCACGTGGTCTCAATGTCTCATGCGATCTATTAATCAAATCCCCTAAACAATTTTATTTTTAATTGGAACGGTAAGTTAACACATTCAATTGAACAATCTAATCAAATCACGTGGTTTATGTTTTTTACTGATTACTGATTAGTAAGAGTATTACTTCGAAAGTATTTATCAAATATGAACGTAAGTTTTGAACCTAATTCAAAAGGATCTCCATTGAAGGCTTGAAGCACATTGTTTCCCAATTTTTTAAAATATAGATTACATGTCTCTATACTAGTATACTACACATATTATATATGTTTATTTTGCTAATAACTAATATCAAACATTAGTCAAATTCTGATTTGTGACTATCTCTATCTTCAACCAGGATTTTTTTTGTTTTACATCAACAAACTTATATTGATAAAGCCCGCTTGGGCAATTACAACAAGTGGAAATCGGAAGCCTATTGAAATCCAGTACAAGACCATCATTATTTCCAAAATACTTTAGGTTGAAAACGAAATAAGTGGTTGCTGACATCATCGCCGTCGAACATCATCGCCGTCGTGCTTCACCGCACGGGCACGCTAATTTTCCGAACAAGTCTTCAGTACCACTCCATCTCTTTCTGATTGCTTCCACCTTGATCTTCTCATAGACCTATGGTTCTAAGAGATTCTTCTTCTCCTTAAAGTTGCCGCTATTCCACCAAACTTCATGACCTGTCTCCCTTTGCCATGAAAGGCTTCTTTATCAGGGACAATTAGAGAGATAAAACTCTCGGCCGAAATGAGCAGATGAAATTAGAAGATGAAGAAGTTGAATCATAATTGAACCTCCATGAAATCTAAGAAGATCTACACACAAACCAAATCCGTTAAACGGAAATTTATTAATCCAACTAGATGATATATGAACATGATTCACTAGTTGGAAAGATAGATCCGATTTAGATCGGAAATACAAAAAAAAGAAAATACTCTCTCTCTATGAAAGATTTTTAGAGAGAGAACAGAGAGAGAGAAAAGTCGCCAATCTTCAACCAGAATTATAACGAGAAATTTGTGATATATGAGGGGAAAAAAAACGAGACATTTGTGAAAATGAAAAAATGGTATGAAATGATAGTATGGATGGTCCTTAAATCGAAACTATTCATAAGTCTATAAGCATTGTAAATTTACTTTTCTACTTCAGACTGAGTAGATAGTTTTGTTATCTATAAATTCACATTTTAACAAAAACAAAGGTTGAAAAGGCATCTGATATCATAAAATGAAGGGCAAATGCTCAAGGCAGAGGTGGACTTGATATCAAGAGCTTATGGGTTTGATCGATTTTGGACTATGCTATATGGGTATGGATTTGATCATATTGGGCTGTGCAAGCCCAGAATTTATAAAAGCAGAAAAAGTTATATCAGAGCCAGGTTTCGATCCTGGGACCTGTGGGTTATGGGCCCACCACGCTTCCGCTGCGCCACTCTGATATTGTTGTTAGATCGGGCTACTGTATAACTCTTATTATTACTTCACTAAGAATTGGTGCTAGACTGGGCTTTGAGCCCAAATTAGTGCGACAACGGATCTGATAACCGGGTCGGGTTTGCAAAGATCCATTGAAAATTATGAGGCAGAAACCGAAGGTTTTATGAAGGGTTTATTTGGCGGCTGTACCTCACGGCGCCTACTCTACGTTTCTCTGTTCTCCAGATCTCTCATTTCTTCTCCCAAGTCTCGGTTTTTAAACTTTGATTCTATTTATTTACCCTTCGATTCCTATGCTTGTATCGATTTCTCTGGAAAATCTATTAGTGAAAGAGCCGATTGTGCTCGTTTAATTCTGAGCCACGCGCGAATAAAAAATGTGGAGGAACATTTTCGGGAGAGCTCCTCTGAGAAAGATTAAATTTTTCTCTGCTTTTAGCTCCGGTAATAGAATTCGCGGGATCCTATCGTCGGTTGATCTCGGTGGTGTTCGAAAGGGATTAGCGATAAACCCAGTTAACGAATTGGTGAGATTGAGCTCGGTTCTCCACGGTCAACATTTTGCGTTTAGAGGGTATGCCACAGCTGCGGAAGCGATCGATTCGACTGACCCTGAAGATGATTCCTCTTCAGGGTTTGAAGAAGTCAACGAATTGATGATGGAAATGGAGAAAGAGACTGAGAGAATCCGTAAAAAGGCGAGGCTTGCAGCGAAACAGCCGAGGAAATTAATGGCGGGAATGGGAGAGAGGAAATACTACGCGCTGAAACAAAGACAGGTGAAGCTGGAGACTGAAGAATGGGGAAAAGCTGCGAGAGAGTGTAAAGAGCTTCTTGAAGATATGTGCGAGCAGAAGCTTGCACCAAATCTTCCTTATATGAAGTCTCTATTCCTCGGCTGGTTCGAGCCTGTTCGCGACGCCATTCAAGCTGACCTTGATGCCTTCAAAATCAAGAAAGGGAAAATCCCTTACGCGCCTTACATGGAGCAGTTGCCTGCTGATAAGATGGCTATTATCACTATGCATAAGATGATGGCGTTGTTGATGACGAACGCTGAAGGCGTTGGCGTTGTTAAAGTAGTGCTTGCTGCTACTCAGATCGGGGAAGCCATTGAGCAGGAGGTGGGTTTGATATTCTCGGTGGTTTTTTTATGTTGTTATTCATGATATAGAATCTTTCATTGATACAAAATTTTGTTGGTCCTATGGGTTAATGGTATGTGTATCTGGTTATTGGATCAGGCCAGGGTCATCAGCTTTATGGAGAAACCGCAGAAGAAAAACAATGCAACTCCCAAGACGGTCAATGATGAATCAGAAGCTGTGGATGCTTCAGAAGAGACTTCGACCAAAGAAACGGAAAGGCTGAGGAAACAACTTAATAAACTGATGCAAAAACAAAAGGTCAGGCAAATAAGAGGAATTGTGAACACACGTGACTCATTCAAGTCATGGGGTCAAGAGGCTCAAGCGAAGGTTTGCTTATTACTTCCACGCTTGTTAATGCAAAACGCTTTAAAATATTTCTCATCTTGCTTCTCCTTTTTTTTTTCATCCCTGTGATCTGATTTTTGGGTCTTGCACTTCTAGGTTGGCGCACGTTTGATTCAGCTATTGATGGAAAATGCATATATACAACCTCCAGCCGAACAGTTTGATGATGGTCCACCTGACATCCGACCTGCTTTTAAGCAAACTATGAAAAATGTCACATTAGAACATACGTAAGAGTCTTGTAATTTTGTTTATGCTCATTCACATGAATCTGTCTATGTCTCTCCATCTCCTTGTCCCTGTGCTTATTTACATTCTGTTTTATTCTTTCCTCAGAAAATGTAGCAGGAGATATGGTTGCATCGAATGTGATCCTCTGATCCTAAAGGGCCTTGACAAATCAGTAAGCAGAATTTTGGACCACGTTTTTGCTGTTCTTTAACTGATATCAGCCATGTACCTTTGTGATGTTTGAGTGTGAACAATCTTTTACGAGTATACATCAAGGTATATCGATTTGAGTCTAACACAACCTCTTTTCTCACTATTTTCCTTTGTCTAATCAGGCTAGACATATGGTCATTCCATACTTGCCAATGCTGATACCTCCGCTGAACTGGACAGGGTATGATATGTTTTCGCCAGTAATTAGGACTTGTATTGTTTCCTTGCTTACTACTGCTAGATCCCCTGAAAATTTATCTCATACAAGGGATATCTACTTGGGTTAAGTAGGTTCCTAAAATTGCTATGTAACTTGACAGTATTTTACAGGTATAATCAAGGGGCACACTTTTTCTTGCCTTCGTTCATCATGAGAACACATGGAGCTAAACAACAACGTACTGTAATAAAAAGAACTCCCAAGGAGCAACTGAAGCCAGTATTTGAGGTCTGAGTTCCTTTACCTGTATTACGAGTTAATGTTGCTTGAGCTTAAATAATTTATTGGATGCTTAAAGCAGAAATAACAGATGAGTTCCTTTGTTTCAGGCGTTAGATACTCTAGGAACCACCAAATGGAGAATAAACAAAAAGGTGTTAAGTTTGGTGGACAGAATCTGGTCCAATGGAGGTCGCCTTGGCGGTCTGGTTGACCGTGAAGATGTGAGATCTCTCTCTCTCTCTCTCCCCGCCTTCCTTTTTTTGATCTACTTCTGGATCTTGTCCACCCTTCTTTTGCCATCTACTTCAAAGGACGTTACCTTTGTTCCTACTTCTCATTTACAAATTTTGAGTTCATTTTGATTTTTTCTCACCTCCTTACAAACTCTAAAAGGTACCCGTTCCAGAGGAGCCCGACAGTGAAGACCAGGAAGAAGTAAAGCAGTGGAAATGGAAAGTTAAGGATGCAAATAAGGAAAACAGCGAGAGACATTCGCAAAGGTGTGATGTAGAGCTCAAACTCGAGGTGAGAGAAGACTCCTTGTTGCACTCCTTTTTGCTGCTCTGATTTATGGAACATCATTTCGTTTTGTACATTCATTTGATTGAGCAGGTGGCACGTAAAATGAAGGACGAGGAAGGTTTCTACTACCCTCACAACGTTGACTTTCGTGGCCGAGCATATCCCATGCATCCATATCTTAACCATCTCGGGTCTGATCTCTGCCGTGGCATCCTTGAGTTTTGTGAGGGAAAGCCTCTTGGGGAATCAGGATTGCGGTGGCTGAAGATACATATAGCAAACTTATATGCTGGTGGTGTTGATAAATTTGCTTATGAGGATCGGGTTGCATTTACCGAGAGTCACTTAGAAGATATTTTTGATTCTTCCGATAGACCTCTGGAAGGAAAAAGATGGTGGCTTAATGCAGAGGATCCCTTTCAATGTTTGGCTGCTTGCATTAACCTTTCAGAAGCCTTAAGAAGCCCCTTTCCTGAAGCAGCTGTTTCTCATATCCCCATCCACCAGGTACCTAATATATTTTATCATCAGAAGTAAACATCATGGTGGTAACTGGCTTTTTAAAAACACTGTACATATTATATTGTTGGTTCTGTGGGTTAGAAAAAGGTTTCACATCACAGTGTTTTCTTGTGTAATGTTTTTTTTTACCTGTGCGCATTCATTTTAGCAGAGCCATGCTTGAACATGAACAACTTTCATGACATTCCAGTGAAATTAAAATTTGCTCTGAATTTATCATCATCTATGCTCTTTAAGTAGAGAATCTTACTTTCTGTATTAATCTGTATTGCAAGGATGGTTCATGTAATGGTTTACAACACTATGCCGCTCTTGGTAGGGATCAGGTATGCCATCTAGTTTTACCGTAACTATAGTTTATATATTTCTATACATCCATTCGCACATAGGAAAATATATTTCTCCTCACGGTTCTCTGATTCAGTTGTTGCGATTGGTTCTGTTCATAGTTGGGAGCAGCTGCTGTCAACCTTGTTAGAGGTGAAAAGCCGGCAGATGTTTATGCAGGAATTGCTGCTAGGTACTTTTTCATCTCTCTATCCCCTAATCTCTCTGGCTACAGTAATACTATAATCAGACAATTTTTTATTTGAATAAACTTTAATCAGGGTTCTCGAGATCATGCGGCAAGATGCAAAGGAAGATCCTGAAACATGTCCAAATGCCAGATATGCCAAACTTATGCTCGAGCAGGTTTTTGACATCTCTTACTTGTTAAATTGGACCACCTTCTGCGAAACATATTACCTGATATCCAATTTTATCCTATTACCATACGGATCAAATGTACTACTGCTAAGTAGTTTCACTTTTATACTTGTTTTTGAACATACGATATGACAACAGTACTCTACTATTGAAATTCCTTAGGTTGACAGGAAGCTAGTGAAACAGACTGTCATGACATCAGTGTATGGTGTTACTTATAGTGGCGCACGTGACCAAATGAAGAAGAGGTTAAAAGAACGTGGTGCCTTTGAGGACGATTCACAAACTTTTCATGCAGCTTGTTATGCAGCAAGAGTAAGGAAATGATAATTTATCTGCTTAGTTTAGGAAACCATGTGCTTTGTGTGGTTATGCATTTTTAACCTGTGAATTATTTTTGGAATTTGGTATCAACTATTCACTCTATTGGTTCTGTTTCTAGATCACTCTGAAAGCATTGGAAGAGATGTTTGAAGCTGCTAGAGCCATCAAGACTTGGTTTGGTGAATGTGCAAAGGTCAGTTCTTATATCCGTGACTCTCTTGTTGAGACCTCTGCTTAAGAAATCACAAGTTACAAAGTAACTTCCACTTGACAATTTGGTTACAACAATGAGAGCTGTCTTCTGTGGTGGACAGATGATAGCTTCAGAAAACAAAGCAGTTTCTTGGACAACTCCTCTTGGACTTCCAGTTGTACAACCCTATCGGATTCCTGGAAGACACTTGGTAACGCTCTTAACTTATTGATACATGAAGAAGCACAAATGATCAGCTTCAGAAATGGATTAGTGACTGTTGAATGTGACTGAAATTGAGAGGCATCAATTTTTGCAGGTTAGGACTACCCTTCAGGTGTTGACTCTAGCACGAGAGACTGATAAGGTAACCCAACCAGATTTCATTCACAATCACTTTTCTCCATATTTTCCACATCTTATTTGGAGAAAGAGTAGGGTTTAGCCTTTATCTTATCCTAATGTAGCATTTCGATAGATTTGGAGATTTGATGCAGAATTGTCTTATATTTTTGCACCATATGCTGTATTCTTGGTTCAGGTCCTGGCGAGGAAGCAGATGACAGCTTTCGCACCAAATCTTATTCATTCCCTTGATGGGTCTCACATGATGATGACAGCAGTTGCCTGCAACAGGGCGGGTTTGAGTTTTGCAGGTCAGCTCAAGCCTTTCCATGTGCATTTACTGATAGATTTTTCATGCTATCTTCTTTACCCTTAATGCCAATTATTAATTTGTAGGGGTGCATGACTCATTCTGGACGCATGCCTCTGATGTTGATACAATGAACAAAATACTCAGAGAGAAGTTCGTCGAGCTCTACGAAAAGCCAATCTTAGAAAATGTAAAAGAACCTGCTTATTATATCTTTCAGGGGCACACAATTACCAATTATCTCTTCATTTCTTATATCTAAAATCGTGATGGATGGTTTTGTCTGTGTATTGATAGTTATTGGAGAGTTTCCAGAAGTCCTTCCCAGGCCTAAATTTTCCACCATTGCCAGAACGAGGTGATTTCGATCTGAGGGAGGTCCTACAATCGCCATACTTCTTCAACTGAGTTGCAGTGCACATTCAGGTTACTGCATATCGGAACCTCTAGTACTCCATCTAACATTCAGGCCAGAGTAAGTTTGCTTCTTCATGCCAATATAATAGCCACATTGATCAAAGGAAAAAAGATTCTTTGCAATCAGCAGCAATGAGGAATGTTGATGGTTAACCTCAACTCAGAGGTGGGCTTAGGGTTACTTGTAAATAACAAAGAAAAAGAGTGTTTCAAACCTTGGCATCAGGGAGGGCGTTGGATCGGAGAGTATCGAACCAGTGGCGTGGCACTCCAGACAACTTGCAGTTTCTCATAGACCACAGAAAGTTACCAAAAGATTCAGTTTCAGCCTGAGGAGTAATTTACGGAGTCAGTGGTGTAAAAACTAAAAGCCAGTGCTAAATGAAAATCATTTAGCTGGTCTTAGTAGACAATCAATTTTCGATTGACGTGTAAGATGTGTTTTAGATTATAGAGACACATTATAGTTGCTCACTATGCATTTCATGTTCAAAATGTGGGATCAGCTGAAGGAGTTTAATAATAATGAAGTATATCTATCAACAGTGGAGTTCTTATGTTATTTGAGAGGTTTTCGTAATAATAGAGAAGGTACAAAGTATAAAATTTGAATGATTCAGCTATATGCAAGTTGATCTTTCATTTCAGATTTTCTAACCAATGGCACTACAATTTCTGTCTTAGCCGCTTTTCTAATTAAAAACAACAAAAAAGAATGACCACTCTTGCACTGTGAGATGATGTCCGAGAGAGATCAACAGATAACTTTTGGGTCTGTCTTTTGAGAGCTTTTCATGTGGTAAGACCAACCCAGTTCTTAAAGGCATCAAGGAATAAAATTTTCCTCATCTTCTTCTTCCTCAGCTTTGGCAATCTGAGATTCTTCAGTCTCTCCATGAACGCTGCCTTGTACCTCCACTTATCCAAGAATATCTTCATCTCCTGACATTTCTCTACCACTTGCATCGCCGTGCCAAAGAACCCTCCTTTAACCAACGCATTCAAAAACGCATCCGCAAGAGCATGGTCCAGTTTTGTTTTCCTGTCTTTGAACTCTTTCCACAAAACAACCACCTCAAAATACTCTTCGCAGTTCACATATCCATTGATCAACGACAAGTACGTCTGGTGATTCGGCTCATACCGAAGGAAAACCATTCTTCTGAAGGTCCTCTCTGCGTCTTCTATGCGCCTGGATTTACAGAAGGCATGAATAATCGAATTCCAGTCATGTGACTTCACTTCCACGCGAGGATCTTCCAAAACTTCCTCCACAAAAGCTGCCATTAGCTCAGGTCTCTGATTCTCAAGGAGACCTGTCATTATCGTTAAGTAGCTCCCTTTCAAATCCGATACTCTTGTTTCTCTCATGTCCCTAAACAACGCAAGCGCAGATACAAAATCCTGTTTCGTCATGGAAGCTTCGATCAAAGCTTTGTAGGTCTCGACATCTAGCTGAACCCCAGCGCTGCTGATCTCTTTAACCAGCTGAGTAGCTTCAGCTGTTCTGTTCTCTTGGCAATACGCCTTCAAGATCGGTACATAAACTCCAATCCCACCAGATCCTCCCTGAGCACTCATTTCATCAAGAATACTTTTACCCGAAAATCCAAACTTGACACAAGCATTTACAATACCAAACCCAACTGACTTGTCAGATTCAGTACACAAAGATTCCAACTTGTGAGCTTCAATTATCAGTTTTGCTAAACTCTTTATCCCTTTGCTGTCGATAAACCCTTTCACCAATTCACAGTAAGTTTCCTCACCGAAATTAGAGTCTTCTTTTCCATCTCTTTTAAGACTATGCAGTATAACATCAGAAACACGATCTAAATCACCCATCTTAACATACCCACTGATCATATTGGAATAAAGGATTCTCCTACTTGCAAACCCAAAACCATCCATCGCATCCTCAAGCTCACTTATCTTCTCTCTAAGTCCCTTTCTAGCATACAAATAAGCAAGAAACCCAAAGCTGGACTCGTCAGGCTTCACACCCAAAACAGCCATAGATTCCATCACATTTTCAGCATCAGCTACAGATTCCATCTGCCAACAACACGCTTCAAGAGCCGCGTTACTCGCAACCAAATCCGGTTTCATGAAATCGAGCTTCTCGTCGACTGAAATTCTGCAACTTTCTCTAAACACCTTAAGAAACGCAGCCAAGGTGCCGTTTTCGCGGCAGATATCGATGATCAAATGCCCCCAGAGATCAAAAGGAACGAAATACCTGTTCTTGAACATACACTCCACCAAAGCCAACGCAGGCGCGGCTGCTTTCGCCAGCTTCATGGACTCCAGAAGCGTACGGAGAGTTTCGAACTCAAGCAAAATCGGATCTTTCTCGATGACGTAAGCAGCGGAAACAAAGGCTCGCTTGAGTCTGTGCCTGAGGGAAGTGTCTCCGGCGTGGAAGGAGGACATGTGGGTGATTAGGGAGTTGAGGAGAAGCTTGTCGGGGAGAGAAGAAGCGGCGGCGAATGATCGGAAGGCCTTCCATGCTTGATCAGTGTCGTGGGCGGTTAGGGAATGGCGGAGAGAAGATTCAAAGGAGGATTTTTGGAGTTGGGTTAGGGTTTTGAGGGTTTTGGGCGGCGATTGGGTGATTGGTTTTGGGGAAGTCGCAAAGGAAGAAGAAGAGAAGGGTCTTGGTGAGATTAAAGTTAGAGTTTTTCTCAACATTCGAGGAAGAAGGTATCGTCTTCGTCTGTAAACATAAACATAAAACATATAAATCTTGATCCTTTATGCTAACATGTGCCAATTTCAGCTTCATTTTAGCGTCGATCTCGCAAGGTTTTTTAAATAGAAACACAAACATTTTCTGAATTAAAGTCCAAAAAAGAACTTACATATAGCGGGGATTGCAGATGGGAAGTGTTCGATTTCCGCTCACCGCATTCTTTCGAAGTTTATACAGTACTAGGATTATACCCGGTGCTACGCACCGGTAAAAAATTATTTAATATATAATTTTAGGTGGCCTTGTACGTTTCATTTCCTTATTACATACTACAGCTCAAATATTGACAATATAAAAAACGATTTGATCCAAAAAAAAAAAAACTTATTAAAACATGATCGTTAATTTGAAGAAAGTGACATTATAAAACAAACAAACAAAAGTATCAGATACAAACTTACGATTGTAAATATTGGAGTGGCTTGTTGTTAACTCTTCGGTTTGAATGTTACATGCATGAATCTGGGCTGCCTCTCCATCTTTGTATTCACCACCTTATCTTGCCTTTAGCACCATCTCTGATCTCTTTCGTCAATGTTCCCATGATCTTGTTTGCTTCTTTCATATTTACACATCTATACTTGTCTTCTGAATCTAACCAACCCTTTCCATTTTCACAATGTTAGTTTACTCACAGAATATATACATGGAAAAAAAATTCAGATTCTAGAAAAGATACCCAGAGACTCACACGAGGGACCAATCCAAGCTTCTCAAAGCTTCTCATCCACATCAAAAAATTGCAACTTTCATTGAAGTTTTCGTCGATCACTTTGCATGTCAAACTCGTCCTTGCTCGTGGGACGCCCTTGCTTTAGCATGAAGGAGTTGATGACCTCTTTTTTTTTTCAACAAAAACCTCCGTATTATTAAGTTTGCGGTAAAAGACTCTCCTCAAGAGAAAGCCAGACCGGAACTGAAAAGTTTACATAGGAAAATCTTAAACCTCGTGTTCTTGCACTCTTGGCAAGTTTATCCGCACGGACGTTACAAAGACGAGGAATATAAACTAATTTAAAGGATCTAAATTGGGAAAACATAGTTTTGAAATCCCCAAGTTCAGCTGCAAATGTAGGCCACTCAGCTGGGGAATCCGTCATAGCTAGGAGGTCAAGGCAATCCGTCGCAAAAGTTTCACATTGGATGTTGGCCGAGAGAATGCACTTCATAGCCCAAAGAAGAGAGTCTAGCTCGGCATGGAGGGGCGATAGACTACGCGACGAGCTTCTAAGTCCAACTCGGAGTATTCTGTCTCCCAACGATACCAGCCAACCGTGGCCACTGAGAGGATCTGAATCGTGCCAAGAGCCATCAAAGTAACAGGTCGTGATGGACGTCAAAGACGCACTTCCAAGCTCTCGTCTAACTCCTGTCACCTCTAAGGTATAGTCCTCCTCGTTAGCATTTCTCCAAGTTTCCTCCTCATGTATTGCATGCTCCAGAATATCTGGGGGAAGATCATCTATGTTGTCGAAGACTTTTTTGTTCCTTGACTTCCATAAGAACCACATAATCCAAGGGAAGATACGTAGATTTTCTTCAGATGTTCCAAATTCTTTAGCTCTCCAAAACAGGTAGTCAAGATTACCAAAGATAGAAGCTTGGGGGAAAATGCTTGGTGCCGAAGGGATAGGTGAGAGTGCCCATACTTGCTTCGATGGTGGGCATTCAAAAATAACATGGTTAATAGACTCTTCCTCTGCACCGCACCGGGGACATCTTTTATCCCTTCCAATATGGCGGGAAGCTAGACGTTGGCATGTCGCCAGACAACCCGTAATACATTGCCACACGAAATGTTTAATTTTTCGCGTGGTTTTTAACTTCCAAGCTTGCGCCGACAGTACCGTAGTACTAGGTCCCTGAAGAGGGGGGTCACAAGCAAGACGAGATAGGGATCTCACAATCCAATAGCCTGATTTTACCGTATAATTACCGGATTTAGTGAGGGACCAGCTGTATCCATCTCTCGAGACATTTTGACTCGGACGAACCCCTAGGATAAGGGCTATCTCCTCGGGCGGGAAAAGCTCCCGAAGTCGGGCTGATTTCCATTGTTTTGATTCAAAATCAATCAAGGAGTTGACGAATAGAAGAGGATCTCATTCAACATGTAGTTCTACAGGAGGTCGGGGCGGGTCGTCTGGGATCCACGGATCTGACCACACCAGCGTTTCAAACCCCGATCCAATGTTCTTACGAAGGCCCGAAGCTAGAAGGGGTTTAGCAGCTAAGATGCTTCGCCATCCGTATGACGGACGGTTGGAGACAGTAATCTCTCGGGGACTACAGTATTTGTAGTATCTTCCTTTTAAGACCCGGTTCAGTAGGGAGTCGGGGAACCGAAGGAGGCGCCACAACTGTTTTGCTAGGAGAGCGAGGTTGAATTCTTCAAAAGTCCTGAACCCGAGACCTCCCTCTGCGAGATGGGTGCAAAGGGAGTCCCAAGATACCCAATGGATACCTCTGCTTTCCTCCTTGGAGCTCCACCAAAAATTGGCAATTGCACTTCTAAGTTTGGAGCAAATAGCTTTCGGGAGAAGAAAACACGACATAACATATGTCGGAATCGTTTGAGCTTGGGATTTAATCAAGATTTCTTTGCCCCCTTTAGAGAGGAGTTTTGAGGACCATGAATTAACCCGGTTTTGGAGCCTGTCCCGGACAAAAGCAAAAACTTGTGCTTTGGAACCGTGGAGTTTCTCTGGGAGCCCAAGGTATGTGCCCATGCCTCCTTCTTGGTAGATCCCAATAGTGGTCTTGACTTCTTGACGGGTGATAGTTGGAACATCGTTGCCAAACATAATAGATGATTTCGTAAAATTAATCTTTTGCCCTGAAACCTCGTCGTAGGAGCAGATAATGCCAATAAGTTCACGACTTTGTACGAGTTCAGCCTTACATAAGAAGAGACTATCATCTGCAAATAAAAGGTGAGATGTGGTGGGACTAGCCCTAGCGATCCGGAGGCCTTGTAGTTTCTCTTGTGCTTCGGCTAAACGGAGTTGAGAGACTAAGGCTTCGGTACACAAGATGAAAAGATACGGTGATATGGGGTCGCCTTGTCTGATTCCTCGAGATGGTTTAATACATCCTCTCGGTTCTCCGTTTAGGAGGATCTTGTAGGATACTGACGAGATACAATACATCACCCATTCAATCCAGCGGGGAGCAAATCCCATCTTTCCCATCAAGGCACGGAGGAACGACCACTCCACTCTGTCATATGCTTTACTCATGTCCGTTTTTACTGCCATGAATTTCTTCCGGCAAGCAGGGTTAGAATGGAGGGCATGGAAATTCTCTTGTGCAATAAGGATGTTATCCGTGATCAATCTTCCAGCTACAAAAGCTGATTGGGTCTCAGAAATAAGATCTGGAAGGAACTTTTTCAGCCTAAGGCTGAGAATCTTAGAGATGATCTTGTAGCTAACGTTGCACAAGCTTATGGGTCGGAAACCAGTCATCTCACGTGGCTTATCTCCTTTCGAGATCAGACAAATGTTTGTCTCATTTAGTTGTGCGTCAAAAGTCCCCGAAGAAAACAAATCTCTAATCGTCTGGAGGAGATCCATCTTAATTGTACCCCAAAATTTCTGATAAAACAGTGTTGTTAACCCGTCGGGTCCTGGAGCTTTTCCGGGGTTTAGGGAGAATAAAGCTCGTCGAACTTCCTCTTCCGAGATCTCACGGGTAAGACTTTCATTCATCGCTTCAGTAACCGATGCCGAAACCCGGTGGAGTACCGAGGATGGATCTTGAGGGCACGAAGAAGTAAAAAGGCCCTCGAAATACTGCACGGCCAATTCTTTAATGCCTTCCTCAGTATCAATCCACTCTCCCAAATGGTTGAGCAGACCCAAGATCTTGTTCCTTGCTCTCCGTTGTTTTGTGGTAGCATGAAAAAAACCGGTGTTCTTATCTCCCTCCTTCAACCATAGAGCTCTACTTTTTTGTCTCCAATATGATTCTTCTTCCCGATATGCTGCAACTAACCGCCATTTCAGATCACGAAGAGCCTCTGAGGAAATATTCTCATCTTCTTGGGCTTTATCAATTTTGCTAACAAACTGATCAAATGCATGTTAAAGAGGTCATCAACTCCGGAGCTTAGTCACTAATTCTGAGTTGATGACCTCTTTAACATGCATTTGATCAGTTTGTTAGCAAAACACATGAAGAAGACATAAAAAAATATTAAGAAAGAGATTATTGATGACTTCATGGTACTTGTGAAGCAGGGTGCCTCTTCTACTGTCTAGCTCCTATTATACACAAATCTTGTGATAAGGCTCTGAGAATCTACCAAATTCCTCTAAAACTAACATGTCATTCAGGAGAAAGGACAGATCTAATTAATGAAATTTGACAAAAGTAAATTGTGTTAGCTGTTGATTATCTGGTTTAAATTACGTGATATATGTTTTAACGCAGTAGGCCACAACCGTAGAAGTGGAGAATGTGGGCAGTTTTTTCCACAAAAATCGGATTAAATTGATATTTTTTTTTGTCTTTGATACATTTATTTTTTTTCTAATTTTATTTTTTTCATAATTGGAAAATACTTTCCATATGTCAACATTTAATTGCACAAATGATTTGTGCTTTAGTATATTAAAAATATTTACTTGTCTTTTAACCTAAAAAGCCAAGCGTTATACTATGGTCTATGGCCAAAAAATAATCGTAATTGGACGAAAATAATAAATATGTATAAAGTTTAAGAATTTACAACTAATCTATCAAGTGATTGTGCTCAATATTAATATGTATTTTTCAACATATATAACATTTTTTTCCCGCTTAAGGTTTCAATAAGTCTGTATCTAGTCCGTACATACTTTCAGAACATCTGGTTCAGTTATCAAAAATAATTTTTATTAACTCAAAAAAATATATATATATATATATATATATATTATCCTTATTTATGCGGTAGATTCAAAACGAATGTCAGGCGTAATAATTAACCGTCTTTGATTTTGTGTCAGTTATTATCCTTAGTTCTATGTGGTAGCATCAGAAGAATATCTGTTTGTACTTGTATTGTAGGTTTTATGTACACAGTTAGTAATTGCGTACACAGCTGCACTACATAGCACATATGTTGACTAGGGGAAAAAAGGAAGCTTCATCATAGCGTCGATCTGGCAAGAGCTGAGCATAGTTCCTTATAACTATTATGACTATTAAATTTTCTTTATTGTTTGATCATACTTATTACAACTTAGCTAATTATGTGTAAATACGAATGTGATGTGTTTAAGTTAACAAAAGAAAATTGAAGTTTCTAAGTTGACTACGACTTCAACTGAAAATCTGGAACTTTATATAACTGGAAGATTTTTAACAACTTATTTCATAGTGACACTAGATCAGAACGTATAGTTCCAGACTTCCAGTTATTATTAAAAATAGTATCCTGATTTTATGTCGTAGTAATAGTATTCGACTCGTTTGTACTTATTTATTACATATCGTAGTTATTACTTATTACTACACATTAAAGGCAGCTGCATCCATAACCTAGTTAATATCTCTTATTACTATTCCTTCCGTTTCAAAATTATTAAAAATACTATTTTGCTTTTTATTAATGCATTAAATAACTTTTTTTCTTTAATTAATACATTAAATCAATAGGGTCAAAACTAAAATATTGTTTAAAATTCTGCATTGAAAATATAAAACGACACTCTTTGTGAAACAAAAATAAAACCTTAAAACGACACTTTTTGTGAAACGGAGAAAGTATTAATTGTTTTTTTTTGCTGATAATACTTACTCTTATTTTTCAGGGTGTTTAAGTTTTCAGTTTGTTTCATAATATAAGATATTTTCATTTTCTAATGCAAAATTTAAATGTATATAATAGTTTTTGACTATCTATATTCTGCAATCTTTTTGATGATTGGTTAGCTTGTTTTAAACTAAATATTTTATTTCAAACAATGATAAATTGTTTTAGTCTTTGTACTTCAACACAAAACATTTTATATTATTAAAGAACAGAGGGAGTATTTAGAGTAAAAGCTACTACAACTTAGCTTCTACATAATAAATTATAAATACAGTAAGAATGTAAGATAGTGACACGTTTTGTAACAATACGATATGTTTTCGTGTTTATTTCGAAAACAAGAACTGACGACAGTAAAAGAAATCATTTCATTTAACGAGCTCTCATTTTTAGTTTCAAGTTATCTCACGACTTCTATTATTCTATTCTACATTTTGTTTTCAGGTAGTATTTCAATGTTTCAACTTTCAAGATCCAACCTTAGATATAAAATAGTTATTTTCTTACCTGCGATCATATTCATATCATATATGTTTTGTTTTTATTTTTCAAGTATATAACCAAAAGAAAAAGCAAATTAAAATGCTTAAAACAGATTTGGCTGGTCAACACCTACTACCTTTATTATGCCATATCTTTAGGGTACTCATTATGCAGTAGAAACTTTATAAATTAATATTCGATAAATTAATAATCACTATAAATTAATAAATTTTGCTGGTCCCAAGTCGAGCCAATATAAAAATCCATCAAATTCGATAAGAAATAAGATAATAATTTTTTTTGAAACCCTTATGTATATGTAAATACATGGTCCCAACAAAAATATAAATTAATAATTATATAAATTTATGTAAATACATGTAATTTAATATTCTAAAATATGACTAATGTGTTTGTTTTTAGTTAAAGTTGAAATCTCATTGGTTCTCATCTTTCTAATTATTATATCAGTAGCTCTTATTGCTGTTTTACTATATACATTCAAAATTTATGATGATTTTTTATGTGATAATTGATTTTCTTACATGTAAATATTTTTAAATGCATTGTAGTGTTATTTTCAATTTTATCATCAATGATACTGATAATAACCATAATTTTTTTTATAAATTTTCAACTTATGAACATGTATATTTTTATATGGACAATCCAATATGATAAAAATTATTTTATTGTGATAGTTATGATTTTTAATCATAATATATATTATGAGATTTGTTAAAATTTTAAAATATAACATTATTTCAAATAAATTTTTAGAAAATTATATGCGGAAAGTAATTTTTCTTTATAAATTAATAATTATTAATTTATAGATAAATTAATATCATGATAAATTAATAAAATATCATAGTCCCAACAATATTAATTTATATAATTTATAGAGGTTTACTGTATCTCTGCCATGATTATATCTCTCACTTATCCTCTTAAATTTAAAAACAAAAATGAAACTACATAAAAGAAGCATTAGAGCCGTTTGACTAAGAGATTCCACACACACATTATGTATGTCTGTAAAGATATAAAGAGAGCAAATAGACGTAAAACATATAAATGAAGCAAAAAATACAAATTTGGAGTGTTTCAAAGGCTCTGTCATCGAGTTTGTACCATTTCCGATTATGGAAACGGTGGCCACAACTTTCGTCGCCTGTCTATATAAGAAGGAAGTGTGTGGTTCATCAATGTGTGCAATTTTCTTTTTTAAAAATCACAAATCTTGAAGTTGATTTTGCCTTCGACACCTGAGATAAAAATGAGGAACGCCATAAGTAAGATCACGGTTGCACGGTTTGCTGGTCGTCGACAGTTCTTTGGTGGCCTTCCTCCCACGCCAGAGGGTGACAAGGATGGCTCGAAGGATGGTGACAAGGATGGTGACAAGGATGGCTCGAAGGATGGTGAAGAACAAGACGGTGACGACCACGATGGTGGAGAAGCGAGGAAGACTTAAAGGAGTTCCATGAAGTCCGAGACTTTATTATCATGTTTATTTACATTTCCCTTAAAATATAAGCTCTGTGAGAGAGAGTTTATGCCGTGGTGTTCAGTGTGTGTGTTTTTATTTTATTTTTGCGTTAGTTTTCTCTTTTGGATGTTGTTCTTAGAAATGTTGTAGTTTCTTTCCTCGGACTTATTAAAAGAACAAATGGTGTCTTGTGTTAGTTATTTCTCACCGAATCTGTTTTTTTTTATCTTTGTTGTGTTCGACCATATGGAGATGAATGGAGATAACGTCTCCCCCATGGTAGAGTGATCTACATTATAAACCCTTTTCTTTTTGTATTTTTTTCCCTCACAACAAACCCTATAAATAGTTGCACAACTGATCAGACATTCTCATATTCTTCGGTTTTATCCCTTACAATTTTTCAGGTTTAATTGTATCACTATACTTTTCTAGGTTTTAAAAGAGTTCATAATTTTTTTTATTAGATTTATGGGTAGGCCGAGGGAGAAAATCATGTTTCATCTTCCTAATTAAATAGAGATTTTTTGTTTTGATTTGGGTCAAGACTAATAAATGAGATTATGGAGTACAAAAGAAAAAAGAAAGAGATTATGGATATTTTTGTACGTTATTTACCGAGTCAGTTGTACCCACACTTTACAGAGTTGCCCTCTAGGGCTCTAAATCTTATACAATTTGATCATTTATATATTAGACTTCTTATACCTTAAATACCTTAATTATAAGTAGTGAGTAACTAGAAACATAATAGAAATATGGAGGGAAGCGAAGCAACAGAAGTGGAGCCTTTAGACAACGCCGGAGATTTGTTGGTGATGGGTGGTGAAAAAACCGCCGGAAAGAAGAACGCCGTCGACAGAAGTTTCGATGGTGATGCAGCGTTTCATCTTCAGTGTTGCTACGTGCCCTTGTTTCTTTTCTGTTAAAAACACGTGTAATTGACGTGTATTGTCTTTTACTTGGTGTTGATCTTATTATTGTATTGGGTTTTTAGTGGGCTCGAACACTTTCTGTATTCGCATTTGGGCTTCCAGAAATGGAATGTTGACACAAAAAATAATTATGGAGGGTATTCTAAACTTTTCTTCACAGACTTGCATTTCCCGGATATAGAAACTTGACTTTTTGACCCCTCCCCCCAAAAAAAGAAACTTGACATCCTCTTGGATCTACAATAAATTTGATCCCAAGGAAAGAGCAGCGTTTTGGTGTGTAGGGTTTTATTACTGTCTTTGATTCTCTTCTCTTTCTCTCCATAAGCGATTTAGGGTTTACTAAACAATGTCTCAGCTTTTCTGCCGAATCTCAAAGAAGCTTTCATCAGCCCCAAACAGGAGCCTCTGTTTCCGGCGGTCGGAATTCTCGACAGCGTCGACACCTTATTGAAACAGTAAAACCCGATAAGATATAAAACCCAATCCAAAAGCTCACCTAGAGCTCGGGGAAAGGAGAATAAGGGCTAGAAGATGATCTCAGAAAGAGAAACGATCATCTCGGAGCTCCAGATTCAGGGTGGAAAGGACGATGATGATATGAGAGAGAAGAAGATAAGATTGAAGAATAAATTGTTCTGGATAGATCTTCCAAATGACCGTTAGAGTCGTACATAAGGTGTGACTAGAGCACATGGTCTACACGTGACCGGTACAACTTTACAAACCAAGAGAAATAATCAAAAGGAAACAAGCTAAATAAACCGAGAGTTCAGCTAAACATTATTCGAATAAGAGTAGAAGATAGGTGAAGAGAGAATCCGATATCAATACTCCCCTCTTGACAGCAAGCTTGTCCTCAAGCTTGAAATGTAGGGTACTTGGCCACGAAATCCTTGTAAAACTCCCAAGTCGCTTGTTCAGGAGGGAAACCTTTCCACTGCACAAGGACCTTAGTGACGGCAGCATTCTGGCGCTTAATCATCTTTTTCTCCAAGATAGCTTCCGGTTCCTTAGAGTTACCAACATCGACCCAAAACTGAGGCAAAACAGGGCCAGCAGATGGTGGGTTAGGACAGAGTTTGAGCTGACTCACATGAAATGTATTGTGGATTGCAGCTGTGGGAGGGAGTTGGAGCTTGTAAGCTGCAGGACCGACGGTGTCCTCGATGCGGAAAGGACCATAGAACCGAGGTGAAAGCTTGTGTGGAACCTTTTTACCCTTGAGAGAATTCTGACGATACGGCTGTAGCTTCAAATACACAAAATCCCCGATCTTGAATACTCTGTTAGAACGGTGGGAGTCAGCGATCTGCTTCATTCTGTTCTGAGCTCGCAACAAATGGAACTTAAGAAGATTGATGATCTCCTCTCGCTTCTGCAGATTCCGATCAACCGCTGCAGATGAGCTTTCCCCAGGTAGATAAGGAAGATGGAGAGGAGGGGGTTGACCATAAACAATCTCATATGGGGTACAGTTGATGGCAGAATGGAAGGTAGTATTATACCACCACTCGGCGAAGGAAAGCCACTTACTCCAGGTGTGAGGAGCGTCGGATGTCATACAACGGAGGTATGTTTCGAGGGTGCGATTGGTGACCTCCGTCTGGCCATCCGTCTGGGGGTGGTAAGCGGTGGAGAAGCGGAGATCCACACCGTGAACCCTGAAAAGCTCTTTCCACACATCACTAAGGAAAGTTGGGTCTCGATTGCTGATAATATCTTTAGGCATCCCATGAAGCTTAAACACCTGATCCAAGTACAACTGAGCCACATCCAAAGCGGTATAGGGGTGAGACAAAGGTAAGAAATGCGCATTTTTACTGAGCCTATCGATGACCACAAGGATGCAGTGTTTGCCATAAGAAGGAGGAAGACCCTCAATAAAGTCCATGCTGATGGACTCCCAGACGCCTTGCGGGATTGGTAAAGGATTCAGAAGACCAGGCTTGGCTGCAAGATCATATTTGCTAGTCTGACACACTACACAGTTCCTCACATAGTTTTGGACCTCAGTACTCAGCTTTGGCCAATAGAACAAAGACTTCACTCTGTGTAAAGTCGCATCTCTTCCCGAGTGGCCTCCAATAGCAGAGTCGTGCAACCACTTAAAGATATGGAGTTAAACCTCTGTGCTATTGCCAACCACCAATTTCCCCTTTCTGCGTAACTCGCCATTACAATACGTGAAAGATGGATGAGATTTCAGATCTTTCCCCAAGTCAGTAATGATACGGATTAAGGTGGGGTCAGTTTTCCACAGGAGTTGCAGAGAATCATAAAAATCCTGGTGAGCCTGAGACAATGTAATATGAAGTAGCTCCGAACCTGTGACCCGTGACAGAGCATCGGCTGCAAAGTTCTCCTTACCTTGCTTGTAGAGAATTTCATAAGTATACCCCATCAGCTTGGACAGCCACAACTGTTGAAACGATGTGGAAACCTTCTGCTCCAAGAGATACTTAAGGCTCTTTTGGTCAGTTTTGATCACAAAAGGGAGGTGAGCTAGATAATCATTCCAAGACTGAACAGCGTGGACAACAGCCATGAGCTCCTTCTCATAGACGGATAAGGCTTGATGACGAGGACCTAGGGCACGACTGATATAGCAGATCGGATGGTTCTCCTGCATGAGAACTGCACCTATTCCGGTATTAGAGGCGTCTATTTCCACCACAAAAGTCTTCTCGAAGTCAGGTAAGGCAAGGACTGGGGATGACGTGAGAGCTGATTTTAGAGCAGTAAACGCTGTTGTGGCTGCAGAATCCCACGTGAATCCGTCTTTTCTTAGAAGATTGGTAAGTGGACGAGCAATCACACTATACCCTTTTATAAACCTGCGGTAGTAATTAGCTAAACCGAGGAAACTCCTGAGTTGCTTCTGATTAGTGGGAATGGGCCAGTTCGCAATACACCTGATCTTTGCAGGATCGGTGCTCACCCCTTCTGCTGAGATGAAATGCCCCAAATACTCGATGACCGTGGCACCAAAAGTACATTTGGAGGACTTGAGGTAAAGCTGGTTCGCCCGTAGAATAGAGAAGACCTCCGCTAAGTGAATGAGATGAGATTCCCACGTAGAGCTATATACCAAAATGTCATCGAAGAAGACAAGGATGAACTTACGCGCGACATCACGAAAAACATGATTCATTAAGTTTTGAAATGTAGAGGGCGCGTTTGTCAACCCAAATGGCATGACCAGGTACTCATAGTGACCAGAATGAGTCTTGGAGGCTGTCTTGTAGACATCTGAAGGACTCATGCGCAATTGATTAAAACCCGCACGCAAATCTAGCTTGGAGAAGTATTTGGATCCTCCTAGTTCATCAAGTAAGTCTTCAAGCAAGGGAATGGTATTTATCCTTCACAGTTTGCTTGTTAAGACCCCTATAGTCCACGCATAGTCTCCAAGTACCGTCCTTTTTCTTCACGAGGACCACCGGTGCTGTGTATGGACTGTTGCTGTATTGGATCACCCCTTGGCTGAGTATATCTTGAACCATCTTGTCAATCTCATCTTTCTGGAGTGATGAATAACGATAAGGGCGAAGATTGACCGGATTAGCTCCTACTTCGAGTGGGATTTGATGATCAAAACCATTCCTAAAGGGTGGAAGGCTCGTTGGAGTTTCAAACAAGTCATTGTACTCCCGCAGCAGAGGTTGTATGGAGCTGTCAATGGAGGGGTCGGTACTACCAGCGGATAGGTGAGAGAACATCATATCAGGTGGAAATGGCGTCTCATCGAACTCTCTGACCTGGAGCATGGCAATCTGGGGCTCTTGCAGCAAGAGTTTATTTAGACAACTTCCTTTGACGACCTTCAAACCAGCTTTTGTGACACCACGAAGCTTGTGTCGGATCCCATTGTACGTGAATTCCATCCGTAGGTTCAAGAAATCCCACAAGATAGGTCCAAGGGTGCAAAGCCATTGAACCCCGAGCACCAAATCACAACAGTCCAGAGGAAGAGTGCGGACCTCGGTGGTGAATGAATAGCGTTGTACCCCCCAAGTAAAATCGGTACATTTGAAGGTGGTGAGCAAGCGGTTTCCGTTTGCTGCCGCTACTGTCATGGGTTTGATTTGTTCCAAAAGACATCCCAACTCGTTAGCGACTGCGAGATCTAAGAAGTTGTGAGTACTTCCTGGGTCAACAAGAATGTGGATCTTGCGTTTCCCATACTCACCCACCACACGCATACAATGGAATGTAGAGGTATCACTAAGTGCGTGCACGGAAATGACAGGTGGTTTCTCATTGGCATCGTCGACTTCCTGCACCTGCACTTCAACGTTCTCCTCTTCGTCATCAGAAGGTTCTTCCTCATCCTCATCGCATTCCATCATCGAGATGCGAGCCTTCCTGTGCTTGAGATGATGACCTGGGGTATAAGGCTCCTCACAGAACATGCAAAGCCCCTTATTGCGACGTTCCTGCATCTCATCATACGACCAGGTGGTGGTTCGGGTGGGTGTCGTTTGGTTGTAGGCAGGTTTATAGGTAATAGTCTTCTGGTTATCCGGTTTGGTAGGGGCCGGAAGTAGAGGAGTGGTAGCTGCAAGTTTGTAAGAGTTGGAGGAGTAAGATTTTTGGTATTGTGGATTGAAGGGAGCTCTAGTAGCCTTCACCGGTGTACAAAGGAGAGCCGATTCATGAAGTTGAGCGATTCGAGCTGCTTCTGAAACGTTAGACACCGGGAACTGCCGTGTGTGCAGAGACAAATGTGGTGCCATATTGGAGAGAAAGATACTCAAAGCGTGAGCGTCTGATAAAGGAATTCCAGATGAAGCAGTCTCAAACTTCTCCAAATATACCTCAACCGAATCACTACCTTGTTTCAGAGCAACTAACTCAGCCAATGGATCATCATACAACTTACTAAACCTCTTTGAAATGGCAGCCACATAATCAGTCCAGGAAGGGAAAATACCGAACCTGGTAGCCATGTAGTTACTGTGCCATTGCCAGGCTCTACCCTGCATATGCACAGAAACGAGTCTGACCTTGAGTTCAGGAGGAGTTCCATCAAGGCTGAAGAACTGCTCACAGCGATCGATCCACTCGCGTAACCTGGTACCATCGAAGATCGGAAACCCCACCTTAGTGAGCCGAGATGATAACCCAGCAGGAAGACGAGAAGACCCTTCTGTCGCCAGATCTGTACCGGCCGTGTTTTGAACCCCACTCAAACCCCGAGGATCTGGTGACTGGAACATCTCATGGGATGAGACTCCAGCTGGAGGCAACACGGATTTACCGGTAGAGAAGCGACCCACCCCACTCAGATCTGGCGGATCTGGTAACTGGATCATCCCCGACGAGAGGACTCCAACGGGAGGTGGTGAAGAGCTGGATCCGTTGAGTTGTTGGGAGCTAGATCCTTGGATCTGCTCACGATGAAGATGTGGTGACGCATTATGAGCGAAATGGGTGAGAATCAGAGACTCGAGCTTGCTGAAACGAGCTTCGAGTGTCTCGGTCCTCTGTTGCTGATCTGCGAGCTGTGTATCCTGAAGCGAGCTAAGATCGGTGGTTTGTTCAGCTAACGCTTGCTTCTCCATAGCTTGTTTCTCCTGCAATCTCGTCTCCGGAGGCATAACCTGTGGTTCCCAAAACCGTTTGCTCTGATACCAATGAAACAGTAAAACCCGATAAGATATAAAACCCAATCCAGAAGCTCACCTAGAGCTCGGGGAAAGGAGAATAAGGCCTAGAAGATGATCTCAGAAAGAGAAACGATCATCTCGGAGCTCCAGATTCAGGGTGGAAAGGACGATGATGATATGAGAGAGAAGAAGATAAGATTGAAGAATAAAATGTTCTGGATAGATCTTCCAAATGACCGTTAGAGTCGTACATAAGGTGTGACTAGAGCACATGGTCTACACGTGACCGGTACAACTTTACAAACCAAGAGAAATAATCAAAAGGAAACAAGCTAAATAAACCGAGAGTTCAGCTAAACATTATTAGAATAAGAGTAGAAGATAGGTGAAGAGAGAATCCGATATCACTTATCTGCTCCTCGGCAGCGATGTTGTCGGAGATTCTCCTTGTGGCGATAAATTCGTCAAATTTAACCTCTACGTTCTGAGGAAGCAAGAGCAAGTGAAGAGCGAAAAACAGATTCTACCAAAGGAGCTCCATAAATCTCGGTGGATTGGATCATCAAGAGGATGGTTAGCTTCAATGAACAAGAACGATTCCACTGTGAGTCTCACTAACATTTTCAACAAACCCACGAAGAGTAAGAGGACCATATCTCTACCTCCATTGATCAGAGACAAATTCGAGCATCTTGTCAATGTCTCTGTTTCCTCTCCAAATGAAGAAGAAGACTGTGTAATTGCTGTCAAGTTTTACGGTTCTCGAGTCAACCTTTGTCGACTCGGAAGTGACTCGGAGTGGACTCGCATCGACGTGCCTTGCCCATCTTTCCACTCTTCCACCGTCATGTTCTCGGAGAGAGACCGGAGATTCTACTTGAACAATTGCAATCCTGACTACACCGGTCCAACTGAGTTCACACTACATTCAAATCCCGTTTTACTCACTCCGGTTAGTGGCTACAAGAGATTCGTCTTCTCTAAATTCCTAGACGAGATGCCAGAGTTGGAGAACGAAAAGCGTCTCTCTCGTTTCAAGATCCAACAGCAACTAGTCGAGTCATCTTCTGGCCAATCCTTCATCGTTTGTTGGTACTTCCTCTGTCTTTCTCTCTCTCTCTCTCTCTCTCTTTTCTTTAAACTTTGACGGATTCAAGAGATGAGATGTGTGTTGTGTTTGTCAGGTTTGTGGAGAGGTTTACAGACAAAGGAGAAGCTGTGCCATGGGGAGACACAAGTTATAACAACAAGGACCTTTGCAAGAAGACCCACAAGATTATGGTGTTTAGGCAAGACACAGAGCAAGGGATTGGTCCTTACACTGATGACATTGGCGATCTCTGCATTTTTTTGGGAGACAATGAACCCTTCTGTCTCTCTGCCAAGGACTACCCTGGTCTTAACCCTAACTCGGTCTACTTTGCCGGCCATGGTTCTGGTTTTGGCATCTGCGATCTCGCCTCTCGTACCATACGATATCTCTCCTCTGACTCTACTCCACCACCCGGTCGAATGTTCTGGATTCCTCCCACATCCCAATAGGAGCTAGAGGAAGTTAACAAATTATATCATCTATGATCTCATTCATTATTTAGGTTTTTTTTTTATGTTGTTGGTCTGGTGTTTTGATGAATATCTTTCGAACTTACTTATTAAGTATGAATTTTCTGTCATATCGCTGATTTGGTGTTTGGAAAATCTCCCGAATTTAATGGATTTTTGGTTTTTAGTTACCAAGCCTAAGTCATATTCCTTGCTTTTCAAGAAAAGAGTCTAATCTTTATTTTTAACTAGGTGAATTAAAGTTTAAACTTATCCATGAATAATGTAAATTTGACATGTTCAAAAGAAAAATTGTAAATGTGACATGTAACTTGCTTTTTTCTCGTTATAACTTTTGTTTCTTCTTGATCTTCAAGATGAGTGTTAAAATCCATAAGCAATTTTGAGTTAATCCGTGAGTGTTCAACCAATAGAATGGACTTGCATTACCGACCATAAGTAAACTTTTGTTTTTTGTTTTTTTGTTAAACGGTTTTTTAAATTAATTTGAAACATAAATACTATGTTTACGGAAAACTTCTATATATATATATATATACTATTTTTGCGAAAAACTTAGGCCTTACAAGAATTGAAGAAACAAATTGAACATGCATGCTCCAACAATATCCCTGTGGGAGGTAAAACAATGGAGAAAATTAAGGAAGTAGTTCGACTGATCACATAGGTTTAAATCATGTCAAATATGTATGTATTTTATCCTCAAGTGCTAATGAAGAACCAACGACTCGATCATATATATATAACGCACAAGTGGGAACAACATGGAAAATATATTAATCAATGGCACACCTTACCAATTCCAAAAGACGACTTCTTCTATCATTAAACAAAACCCATATAATAAAAGAAATCAAGACAATGACATTGGAAAATAACCTACCAAATCCGTCTTTTATTACGAAAATGTCAAGAATTGGAACAACAGAAGATTGAGATCAATCTTTTTCTCATCATCATCATCTTCATTCTTCACTTACTCTTTTGTGGGGTTGTGATCCAACCAATCTGTAGAAGAGAATAGAGTGCAAGCAGAACCGAACAAAGTCAACAAAAATCCAGACACGTGTTTTGGTAAAGCAAATGTTTGGTGCTTTATATAGACCAACAAGGCAAGGCTTAAACAAAGGACTCTCTGATTTGACTACTTCAACATCTTTACAGAGTCCCATGGAATCTGACGGTGTCCCCACTTCCTGCTAAAAAGTCTTATCCTCTATCATCACCAGCACAACCAATTTACCTTTAGTGGGTTCCAACTTCTCTGAAACAGAGGACTAAGTGTGCTTTTCAAGTCTTTTGCTAGATGAAGTATTAGTTTGAGACTTGGTAAACAGAGTGAGATAAACCCAGCTTTGAACAAATGGGATGTCGGTAAGACTTTTTTTTTCAATCCTCTCTTGTTTCCTTTTGCACCTTCAAAAAAATTCTTGATCATTGCTTTTTTTGAATCATCTCGGTTTCTCAAGCCAATCAAAATAACTCCCTTTCCCTTTCATTTACGATTTCAGACTCAAGAAGATATCGACACAACTGATTCACTGATTGGATCGTTGTTGGGGTCCATTTCCGAGGTAATCAGATCTTTGGGGTCCTTACAAGCAGAAACAGAGAGCTTCCTTGACTGCGCATGCTACTTTTATCGAGTTTCAGTGGTGTTAATGGAGATCCAGACAGGAGAGAGCGCCGTCATATGTTCAACTGATGTTCTTGAATCACTATCCGAAAGTATAGATGCAGCCAAGAATCTTGTTGAGATATCTCAAGAAAGCAACGGACCAGAGTCAACTACTGATCTGAGAAGCGTTGAGGCAGGTTTGGGAAGCGTTGTGAAGCAGATGGGTGACACTTTGCAGTCCATACCTGAATCAACAATCGACGAGGAAGAATATATAGGAGTGATTATCGAGACTCTTTCAAATGAGATGCAGAATGCTAACATTGGAGATGGTTCTAAAAGTGAGATCATACAGAATGCGCAGCTGAAGATTTCTGCAAGGCCTCCACCGGAATTGGTGTCAGAGCAGATAGAGACAGATCTCTACCCTACTGATCCTGAGTTTTCCTATGAAAGTTACCTGAGTGAATCACAATCACAAATGAGTGAAATACCAGATATCCCAAGCCAGAGCACAATTGCTAGCAGCCAGAGAAAGTATGGACATCTTAGCGAATCCTTGTCAATGTTACCACAGGTGACACAGTTCATGGAGCCTCCATACCAAGCTTTCATCTGCCCGTTAACCAAAGAAATAATGGAAGATCCAGTCACCACAGAAACTGGAGTAACCTGCGAAAGGGAAGCAGTCACAGAGTGGTTTGACAGGTTTGGAGACTCCGATGAGATTAGCTGTCCAGTGACGGGGCAAAAGTTGACCACCGGGTTAAGTCCCAATGTTGTCTTGAAAACCATCATTCAGGAATGGAAAGTGCGAAACGAGGCAGCAAGAATCAAGGTGGCTCACGCAGCTTTATCCTTAGGCGGTTCAGAAAGTATGGTTATCGATGCATTAAGGGATCTGCAAATGACCTGTGAAGGGAAAGAGTACAACAAGGTAAAAGTCCGTGAAGCTGGGATCATTCAGTTGCTTGACAGATACCTGACGTACAGAAGTAAAGATGTGAGGTATGAACTGCTGCAGTTGTTAAAGACACTGGCAGACGAAGACACTGATGAAGGAAAGGTAGGATCTCTTTCATTTTCCTCTTATGCAAGAGCACTATCTTACATGATATGCACTGGTTTATAGAGGTTCAAGATACCAACTACTTAAAACTTGTAGCTTAGACACAGAGCTTTACTAGATCTTGTTTCAATAGACTTTTATATCTCAACGTTATCTTACAGGAAATGATTGTGAAGACGATAACTATGTCATCCGTAATCAAACTTTTGGGAAGCAGTCACCAGCCTGTAAGACATGCAGCACTAGTCTTACTGCTTGAGCTTTCAAAATCTCAACATGCATGTGAGACGATTGGGACTGCTACAGGGGCAATACTGATGTTAGTGACCTCAAAGTATAACAAAGAGTTGGATGCCTTTGCATCAGAAACAGCAGACCAAATCTTAAGAAATCTAGAGAAGATCCCTGATAACATAAAGCAAATGGCAGAGAATGGGCTTTTGGAACCTCTTCTCAGTCAACTAGCAGAAGGTAATTCTCTACTGACTTTTCTATGATTATCCAAACTTTATGAAGCCAATTTGCTACAAAAGCATAAGCTGGAGTGATAAATTAAACAATAAAATGATGTTCATTAATATTGGTTTAATTGGGATTATATAATTGGAGTTCATCTAAAATTGCAGGAAGTGAAGAGACCCAGGTGGCAATGGCTGCATACCTTGTGGAAATTGATATCGGACATGAGAAGAAAACTTATGTAGCCGAGAAGGCTTGCCCTGCGCTCATTGTGCTGGTGAAAAGTGAAAATACTGAAGCTAGAAGAGCAGCGTTCAAAGCACTTGCTCATATTTCATTGTATCACCCAAACAACCAAATACTGGTAGAAGTTGGCATCATCAAGGTCATGGTCGAAGAGATGTTCACCAAGCGAGTTTTCAGTGATCTGATGAACTCCAGGAATGACGCTGCTACAATACTAGCAAACATTTTGGAGTCTGGGGTGGAACATGAGACCTTTGAGGTGAATACACATGGCCACACATTAGGCTCGGATTACTTTGTATACAACATCATCCAAATGCTCAAGAACTCAAGCCCAGATGATCTAAACATTGATTTGATCAGGATTCTCCTATCCTTATCAAAATTACCCAGAGCAATGGCAACTATTGTTTCAGTGATCAAAGAAACCGACGCGAGCTTTGCCATGATAGAACTCATCAACAATCCTCACGAAGAATTGGGGGTTGGAGCATTAAAACTTCTCATAGAACTTACACCCTTCATTGGTCACACGCTATCCGAGAGACTATGTAAAACTAGAGGCCAGCCAGAGAATCTTATCCAGTGCCCAACAGAAGCAAATCAGATAACAGAAAAGCATGCTGTTTCAGCTAAGTTACTTGCTAAACTGCCTCATCAAAATCTCACTCTTAACCTGGCACTGGTCAACGAGAGCATAGTGTCTGAAGTTCTACATGCAATCCATCTGATTCAAAGAAGTGGAACACGAACAAGCAGGTATGCAAATGATTTTCTGGAAGGTCTCGTTGGCATCTTAGTGAGATTCACAACTACACTGTATGAGCCCCAAATGATGTACCTGGCCAGAAACCATGATTTGACATCAGTGTTTACTGATTTATTGATGAAAACATCAAGCGACGAAGTTCAAAGGTTATCAGCGACTGGACTAGAAAATCTATCATCTACAACTATGACTTTATCGAGACCACCCCAAGCTAGGAACACGAAATTCATGGGATCACTGAGTATGCCTAGGTCCTTCTCACTCCGTTCACCAAAAAAGAAGCAAATAGAGATATGTGCAATCCACAGGGGGGTATGTTCTGCAAAAACCACATTTTGTTTGGTTGAGGCAAATGCAGTCACACAGCTTCTAGCATGTTTGCAGAGTGATAAAGTGGAGGTGGTGGAGTCAGCATTATCTGCTATATGCACGCTATTGGATGACAAGGTCGATGTAGAGAAGAGTTTAAGCATGCTGAGTGGAATGAATGCAGTACAACTTATTCTAAATGCAGTCAAAGAACACAAGAAAGAGTCTCTATTGCAGAAAGCATTTTGGATGATTGACAAGTTCTTAATTAGAGGCGGCGAAAAGTATGCCTTTGGCATATCACAAGACAGGATGCTGTCAGGTATGTTGGTTAGTGCCTTCCATCGTGGAGATGGCAACACAAGGCAGATGGCAGAAAATATTTTGAGGCGTTTGGACAAGATGCCAAGTTTCTCTATCTATATGACAGAAAAAAATGAAATGTAACAAAACCCGTAAGGCCGTGAATATCATGATTTATTGCTCTCTTGGTGCTCACTGTGTATAAAGTTTTCAGTTTGAATGTGATTTAACGTTATTATCACAAAAGAAAAACAAGTACTTCATGTAGAGAGTTCTAGATTAACATCCTCCTGACAGCCAGATTTTCAATTCATATATATACCCATATTCTGTCTTCATTACAAAAGGGTCTCACCTCTGTTTCTTGTTCCTTTGTGAAATCTCATCACGCTTGAGTTAGGCGTTTCTGCCTCCAACCTCGCATGCTCGTAGACCTCGGGCATGAGTCTTTGAAGAAAGTGAGAAGAGGGCAAAGTCTGTCCAATTGTCAAACATGCACTCCTTCCCATCACCAATAGAGCATTTGAGGAAATGAAGAAATGTTTCAGCAACATTCTAAATAAGAAAACACTTTGATATCCGTTGTTCACTTTATCGTATGCATCTTAAATGAAAATTTCCATACCCAAATGTAAGTCTACCTTTATTCTCCGTTCCCTTCAACACTGGATGCCTCAAGATTCTGAAGGTGGACAAGCACAAAGCTCCACATTAATTTCTGTGGAAATTAATAGACTAAAATGTAAAAAAAATGTTTGTTTTATCTTTGCTAGAAGAAAAAACAAAATGATAACAGAAATCATTTGTAGTTGATGAAATAAAGTGACAAAAAAATATTATAACCTGACAAGCATCTTAGGAAATCCAATTTGACTATCATCTAAACCCAACGTTAAAACGAAAAAAACTTTTAGCAAACCCTTAACTACTACTTCATCAATGGTTTCCTTGGGAGCCAAAACGAATTCTTGTGTCACCATGATCACAAATCGGATAGGTCTTACCATCTATGTTCTCCATCTTTTTGATCTTGTAGTCGAACTATATGGCCCCTTTAAATTTTCTTAGCCAATTCACCCAATTGGAGTTTAATGCTTCAGAATCCTACTGACAAAGATCGGCAGGCTAAATAAAATTAGAAGCCTAGGATCGGAAACCGAGAACATATTGGAAGCAAAGAGAGAGAAGTCTTACGTGTTCCTCAACTTTATATTAAAGTCTTCATAATAGGTGATGAAACGGCTCCTTGTTCAAGTAAACTGACTTGCAGTAAACTGAATCTTCCCTACTCTGTTCTGATTTTGTCAGACTCGCAATGGAGAATCATCATGCTTAGCTCTGTGTGTCAGAAAAGTCCCAGACGAAACCTACCAGAAGTCTCCGCATGAGCAAGTTCCATCTTTAAAACGGTGAAACCTAACAGCATCTCTAACAATTATCTCTCGACCAGTGACACTGGAGATATGTTTAGTGGCAATGTGGCAATCCCCACACACTCTAAGATTTTTTCCTACTCTAATAGGTAGGCTTGAGGGTACAAATATTAATCCAAAAGCAATTGCGAGTCTTTCACTGTGATATTCAAGCATCTTTATTTTAACTGCTTCCTCGACATCATGGTGAACAAAACTAGTATCCGGTTTATAACCATTATCTATGATTCTTTGGTTCAACTCCTCGAGCTTAGCGTATATCTGATCTAAATATGGACTTGACTCATCATCCGCTGAGAAACTGTACAATTTTCCTTTCCATTTGATCCAGCTCTGTCCAGGTTCTTTTCTCACTTTCTCCTCTTTCATTCCCTGCCTTAACTGTGCCACACAATCCCATTTCCCTTTTGAAGCATATATGCTTGATAGTAAGATATAGCCAGCAGGATGATGAGGATCTAGTTCTATTAGTGATTCAGCCGCCTGTTTACCTATTTCCAAATTGCCTTTATTTCTACATGCGCTGAGTAACGTGGTCCAACCAATTGCATCTGGAGGAAAAGGCATCCCATTTATGAAACTCATGGCTTCCTCTAACCTTCCAGATCGACTAAAGAGATCAATCATGCAAGAATAGTGACCACTACTCGGTACTATTCCGTGTTCATCTATCATTAACTCAAAATATCTTTGTCCTTTCTCTACTAATCCTGCCCTACTACAAGCTGATATAACACCGGTAAAAGTCACTCCGTCAGGTTTTAGCCCATGTTGCACCATTCTGTCAAACAAATGAATGGCCTCCATGGCCTTTCCAAATTGAGCATACGCGGAAACCATTGCTGTGTAAGAGACTACATCCCTGACATTCATCTCGTTGAATATCCTAACAGAATCATCAATATCTCCACATTTTCCATACAGAGTCACCAATGAATTTGAAACAGTGACATAATGTACCAGGCCCGAAATTATAGCTTTTCCATGAAACTGTGAGCCCTCTTCTAAGCTAGCTATGTTGGCACACGCACTGATCGCTTGTCCCAGAGTATAATGATCCGGGTCAATTCCACTTCTTTGCATATCAAGGAATATTTTAACAGCCTCTTCAGCACGGCCGGTCTGGCCATAACCCACAACCATTGCTGTCCACGACACGACATTCTTCTGCTTCATTCTATCGAAAACAGTCTTTGCGTAGTCTATACACTTACACTTGCAATACATGTCAATGAGAGCACTGCCTACATATACGTGATCCTGAAGATTGCTCCTGATTATAGAAGCATGGATTTGTTTCCCTTCCTTTATAGCTCCTAATTCCCCACAAGCAGGTAGTACACTTCCAAATGTATATTGATCAATCGTCAAGCCTTCCGATTTCATCTCTCTGAAAAGCTCAATAGCCTCCTTTTCAAGTCCGTTTTGAGCAAGCCCTTGAATCATCGCTGTCCAAGAAACCGAATCTTTCTCCATTCCTTGAAAAAGCTGTTGTGCATCTTTGATCATTCCACACGCAAGAAGTCCTCCCATCAGCGAGTTGTACATAACCGTGTTTCTATCGTCCAGACCGTAAAAAACTTTCTTTGCATCAGAGATGAAACCAGCTTTTGCATACATATCCAACAGTGGGCTCCCAACTAAAAGATAAGACTCAAACCCTCGTTTGATAACCTGCACGTGAATCTGCTTGCCGAGACCAACATGCCCATTGGTGGAAGAAAGTTTTAACATTGTCATCAAAGTAACCCTTTTCAAATCACCAGAACCATCTCTCATCATCGTATTATAAGCCTTGACTGCTGCACCCACCAAACCAGTCAAGGAATAGCCGGAAATAAGCAAGTTCCATGTGACACCGTCGCGGATTGGAATTCTCTCGAAGGTACGCTCCATCTCCGAGAGGTGCCCAGATTGTGAATAAGCCATGAGGAGGTTGTTCCAGGAGAAGGGGTTTGGTTTGGGAATTTCATCGAACACTCGGCGAGCATAAGTGGAGTTTCTGGTTTTCGCATATCCGTGGACGATGTTGTTAAGCAGAATCGTCTCTACAATGGAAAGGGTTTTGATAATATGCCCGTGGATCGTCTTCAAATGGCGACTCTGACTTCTAGCTCCAGACTCGATGCATTGCTTTATCTGAGCAGAGTAGTAGTTCGACGCCATTGTCTTTCCTCGGACAAGAAAATCAAACGAAACAAAAACTATTTCTCATGTATTAAAGCTCGTCGCATTTATATATTTTCATAGTATAAAAACATAAAAAGAAAGCTTACTGTTTACAGAAAAAAAATATTAATTAGTAATAATATTTTTAGATAAGCAATTGTTATTCTCGTCACAGATTATACTAATTTAATTTAAACCCCGATTATGGGAGAGACCAAAAGGTCCAATATCCACATTATTTTCAACATTCATTTCGAATTTTTTTTGAAACGAGTTCCAATTTCTTACTTAAACAAAAATCAGGAATCTTCGGTGGTCACAAGGAATCCACAATACAAGTAGTCAAGTACTAACTAAAAGAACTAAAAGAAACTAAGAGATTATATAGAACAATTTGGCATTGTTGATGTACACAAATTTTACTCTTCTTTTCCTAATTTTTTAAATGCTTAGTAATAGTAGTAGTTTCGTATTCGTTAATAGTAACATCATTATCATATAGTACAAAGTAACATTAAAAGAAAAAAAAAAGATTACAAGAATTTAATATTTCTATCTAACAAGAGGAAATCTCAAGGCTCAATCTTCATGTTTGCAGCTGGAAGAGATGCTGTAATAATAATAAAAAAAAAGACAAAATTTAGCAACACAAATTATTATCTTCTGGTGAAAAAAAAAAGTTAAAAAAAAGAGGTTTCAGTTTTTTTTCACCTGTATCTGCTGCTTGAGGGTCAGGTGGCACATCACCAGCTCCATAGTTAATGTGGATCACATTTTGCAGATCACCTTCCCATCCATTTGTTTCCTAATTTACAAAACATAATCAGATTATGATCTCGGATTTCTTCGTTTTCCAGACTCGTTTACACGTACCTGTCGCTTGAATCCACCATTCATAGGAGACAATGGAGAGCTAATGGTTCTTCCGATGTTGGAAAGTGTCTGTTGCATGAATCCATGTGGTAAAGGAGGATAAACCATTGACACATTTTGCGGAAATGGTGCTGCAGATGACGAACCAGCTCGTAGTTGAAGTGCCTGTGTACAGAATTTGGTTTATAAGTAATCCTATGATGACTTAAAATGATTAAGGAAAGAATTTTAGTAAAAATATCTTACATCTTTTGCAAGAAGACCTTCAAGATTAAAGTCCATTTGTGGGTTCACGGTTGCAAGTTTCATTGATAAAAACTGTTTTAAAACAGAAGCAAATTGATTACAAAGCAAACACAAAAGAACACATAGTTGAGAGAATAAGGAAATTTCATACCTCTACTTGGCGTTGTAGCGATTGCACATAGTTTATGATTTCGTCAAGCATAACTGCCTTCCCAGTCACCTGCACACACACACACACAGAGATCCATTTCTGCAATTAGCTTTGTTTCTCTTCTTTAAATATTCATATTCAAAGGCACTTTATAAAAGACTCTACCTTGTTGCAACCCGGTACAAGATCTTGGAGAAACTTCATTCTTTCACTGATTTTTTCTCTCCTCACCTATAATCACAAAGTTAATTAAAAGAAAACACCAGAAGAGACTGCTTCTATGAAGCTTCCAAAATGGTTACAGTAATCGTACCCTTTCTGCAAGACTATGGCTGTTTGTGGCCTGGCCTCTACGTGCCCGCACATGAATATATCCATCTTTTGGATCAGACGTTTGTTTGCCCTGTTGTTTCCCACTATTTGTTTTGTTGCCAGGTGAGTTTGGACTTTGCTCGTCATTCCCCTTTTTATCACCATTGTTGTCTGGTTCTTCCTCAGATTGCTGATTTCTGTGTTGTTGATCTGCTTCAGAATTCTACAAACAGATATACTAACAATGTTAGAAGGAAGATATAAAAAGGCCAGAGAGAAGAGTTAAGAGTTCACTTCAAATCTTCTTCACCTGTCTATTTCTTTTCCTCTTCTTTGAGTCAAAGCCTTTGGAAGAGGTTTCTCCGCCTTTCTGACCATTACCACCACTAGACTGAGTATCCTCGGATACGTTTCCCGATCCAGGAACATTCGGTTTAGCTTGTTCACTAGATCTAACATTTGGTTCTTTCACTGCTCTAGATGCATCATTATGAGCTTCACCAACATTTATTTCATTACTACTTGGACACTGACCTTGCACTTGCATAGCTCCACCACCTTGAAGAAACAACCCAATTGACTCTGGATTCCCAAGTGGTTGATTCACCATATCACTAAAGTTCCCACCGCTAAAGAGAGAAAACCTCGCAGCACGCTCTATGAAGCCTGAATCAGCCGGGAACTGAGCCATGCTCGGAGGGAGAAAGCTACCAGCGTTTGGCAAGAAAAGACCATTATTGCCTTTAGGAGGCAACAAAGTAGGCAGATTCCAACTCATCTCAAGAGATCTATCGATATTACCCCTAAAGGAGGAAGAGGAGGCGTTACCACCACCATTGAAACCTCCATAACTCTGAACATTTGTGGGATCATACCAAAGAGTTTGCCCAAACGAATCCATCATCTGAGATGGAGAACAAGATGAGGCACAAGCTGAAATCAGATTCTCTTGAGGATACGTATTAGAACCAGAGACTCGCCAATCTGTTTGCTGATTATTAACCGAATCATAGTTCACAGTAGTATCATCACGATTCCTCTTCTCTGCTGAAAACTCATCTTTCTCACTTATATCCATCTCTTCTAAATCCGATGAACAGCACTAATCTAAGCCTCCAGGATCAAATTCAAATCACTACAAAGCAAAACGACTTGCCACACAAACACACTCACTTTCGTCTTCAGAGATGCAGTGAAGGCACAATCCACCTGGAATAAAACCAAATTGATTTCAATGAAGGAACAAGAGACAGACCAATCAATAGATTTGATGGTACAAACACACATCTTCCTTAAAGACGAGTCAAGTACTGAGAAATCAAACTTAAGGAATCTCAGAAGAAAAAGGAGAAGAATCAGTCAACGGAACAGAAAGTAAGAAAGGATCATGATTTTTCTCCGTACAAACCCCAAAAACAGCTTTTCAAAAACCCTAACCCAGATTTAAGCAGATAATCGAGTGAAAAGAGTCAGGAGAAAGATACCCATTTACAGAATCTGTGCCACTTTCTGTACAAAACTTCAAACTTTTCCTCAATTTCTCACTAAAAGCTTTATTGAAATGGGTCCTTGGGTCAGATAATAAACCCCTTTCTCTGTTCTTCCGCTGCAGAGAGAGAGAAAGATAGCAAACGAGTGGCTTTTTAGAAATGAAGAAAAAAAAAAGGAACTGAAGAAGAAGAAAGGAGAAAAAAAAATCGCAAAAGGTTCTGGATTTATACCCACGCTTGCATGAAAAACAGAGCTTTTGATCATTAAACATAAACACCGCCATAGCCAAAGTATCCAAGCATTATAATTTGCAGGGGAATTGTTTTTTTTTTTAGAGTGGTTTAGTAAGATTGGTTAAAAAATTTTAATCGATTTGTATAATTAAATCTATATGGTTTAACACGTAATTATTCTAATTTGAGCAATCGGCTGACAGTGACAACTTTCATTTTGGGTTATCTTATTCTTTTTCTTTGCTATATATTAAAATATCGAAAAACACAGGCTTCCATGATTTTCTTTCTTGATTTTATAAAATTAATGAACTAGGTTTGTCTGGTAAAAAAGCTTCCCAAAATCCATCTAGCTTAAGCCTAATTTATAAAATTGTTAATTTCTATCTTTTGTATATCACATACAGTATATTGGAATTTACCGACATAAGTAATCATTAATTCACTTCTACTATTATTATGGAGTTCAGCTTAATGTTTGACATACTTATTTTTAGTCAGTCATGTGCATACTTTTTTATCAGCTAGTTTCAATGTTGAATAAGTTCAAGTTGCCATATTCAAATATTTTATATATATTAAATATGTTAATCTTTCCATTGTCCAGTGTTTATAAATTATATGGTATAATGCTTGCGAATAATCATAACAATTATTGGTTTCATGTTCAATGTTTTGGATTTTGTACCGAATCATAAGTAATTCTTTAAACAAATGTTTTTATCTCATGCACGGTTTGTTAAAGATTTATTAAATAGAAAAAAGTTATTTTTGTGTCTTTTGACCGCTTGCTTTCGCTCAGGAATATTTTTGCAGCTCAACTGTAGTTTGTAAACCGTACTGCTAAGACTTACTAAAAGATTCATAGCAATTATAATAATATATCGATAAGAAAAGCTGAAAAGAATATTTCAATATTGGACATAAAATTAGATCTTTCACTGTCGCTTGGAATAGTTTAACTAGATATTTCAAGTTGTTCGATTATGTCAGCTTAGGCAACTTGAGACACTTTATTCAAATAAAAATTGTTCGTACATCTTGGTTAGTCAAATAATCTACGAGATATCCGTGATTGATAGTGGTCTTAAGTTACAATTATTTTCTCGACAAGAAAAAATTTACTATCTTTTTTTTTGACGTAAAATTACTTCAGGCAGCTGTTCAAAAAAAAAAAAAATTAAGTTTTTTGGAATAAATCTTTAGGCTTTCTTAAAAACTGACTCTTCTTTTATGGACAAGTAGTGAAAATTTTCCACGTTCGTGTTGAGGTTTTCATCACTGATGATTCTTTTTTTAAATGGAATGAGATATATAGACGTTTGTAGTGTAGTCAATATCTAGTGTTGTCAAAATATCAATAACATACATTTTTATCATTCAATAAATAATATAACTGAATTTTCTAATCATTTACTTATATTTTAGAATAGTTGAAGTTATGTATATGAAGCTATGTAAACGCTAAGATGACTGACTTGATCATTCTCCAATTACTTAGTAACCGAGCTTAAGTCTGCTCATAGTTTAATCAAAAGATCTAGTGGCGTTCTCGATATTGGAATCTTCTGCATTTTCACTTCCCTTTGTGTAATGATATCTTTGTTGAATCGCAGTTCATATATGATAGTGTTGTGCTGTTATCAGTTATTCGTGTCTATTGTTGAGTCTAGGTGTCTTTAAGTGTTTTCATAATTTAAATATGTGTTAGTGTCGACAAAAAAATTATATGAGTTGAGTAGATTGTTAAATTTAGTTTTAGGGCTTTCATCAATGGATAGGTGGATTTGATGTTGGTTATGGTGAATTATTCTTGGCTCTTAAACCATAGTACATAGGTTTGCTTAATGCTAAATTGTGGAACTTATAAATGGATTACAAACGAATTTGGAACTTGCGGAAAATGACACAGCTGAAATGTTAAAAAAGCAAACTAGCCGATTTTTATTTTTATTTTTTGGTGGTGATTGGGTGAAAACAAAAAAAAATCTTCGACCGTCATACAAATGCAATAAATGGCCTAATAATTTTAGCCTACCAATTCTATTTTGCATATTCCAACGCTCCTGCGTATGATACCAATGAACTGATAACGATTTAATTCAGTGCATTTATACTAGAGCTAATCTCTTAATTAGCTTGCGATGGGGTCAAAGATCAAAGCACACGCAAGATCTGTCCCAAAAGCTAAAAGAGTACATTGTTAATTTTCTAACAATAATACTATACTAGTACATTGTAAATTTTATACAATAAATGTAAATAAAAAACAAATCTCTATAAAAAAATATTAGAAAATGAATTGAACAGTCTGTTACCTCATCCAAAAACTACCATTCAATGGTCAAATTAACTTGAATTTCGTTTAATAAAAATAACAACTTGATGCATTTTATAAACTAGGTAAATGATTATTGATGGAAATTGTTTATACTTTTTTCCTAACCCAAATTAACTTCTTTTTATTTTGTATTGGTCAGGAACAAGTGTAAACGTAGGAAATGATTAGAGTAAAATATTTAGGAGGAAAATAAAGGAAGAGTAGATGGACGGTCTGGTTAGCACAAGGATCGAGGTCATTATTAGTTGGCCTCGGGACTTGCAATTTTCCAAAGACCTAAGAAAGAAACCTTTATAATAATAGAATCTCCAGCCCACACCTTCGCTTTATCGTTTCTATTTTTAATTCCCTAATTATTATCAACCTTAGTTTTACACTTTTTTTTTTCTTTTCCTTACAACAGCCATTTTTTTATTTTCTCTTTTGACCGATAGCTTAACCCTATGCTATGTCAAATATTATACGTTTGTTTATTGCTACTATGTACCAACTTCCTTTTATTAATTCAACATATATATAAGAGCTCGAAATAATTTGAGTTGATCGAGTTCATTTTACGAACTAAACTCCATCCATCATCACCACATGTGTAATACTTTTTCCATTTCAACTTATTTGAATACGCCTATACTATTAAAAAAAATATTTTTTATGTCCAACTAAATTTTCTTTCATTTAAAATTATTCTGTTTTTGAATAAATATTATTTCTATAGCCAAACAAATTAATTTAATATAATTTTAATAAAAAATTATATTCTAATTTATATTTGAAAATAATTCTAAAAATTTTCATTTTAATTTAAATTAATTTTGATTTCAATAAATATAGATTAGATTAATTATTAAAAATCATTAAATTAGTTATTATTATATATATATATCTTTTAAAAAATAATAAAACATAACATTAGTTTTGAATTAATTTAAATATTCAAATTTAAATAACATTTTTATGATAATGGATGATAAACGATATGTTATTGTAATATGAACGGATGAATTAGAGTTATGTTTTTATAATCACAATATTTTTCATATTAATAGAACAGATGGATTATAGTTATACTTTTATAATTATGGTCATATTTAATATTAGAATTTAAAAAAAAATGCATAAATCTAAACATAAAAATAAAATTTATCACTTATTGAAAAAATTATATCTATAAAAATATAAATTATATAATAAATTTTGATTATAAAACATAATTTTCGTGCAGATGCACAAAATAAAATTTAGTTCTAGCATTATTTTGGACTTTGTATTAATAATTTAGGTGAAAACACATACTGAAATACATATGAACTTTTTTGATATATAACGACCAAATAATTATAGTTATTGTTTTAGTAATAACACAAGTAATATAATTTCTATTTAACGAGAATATAATTTAAACACTATTAAAAACTCTTATTACCAAATTTATCAGCAATATTTTTTTATAAAATCTGTAAAACGATTTTATTATAAACACAATTTAGACACCCACGTAGATTTTTAATTATGCTCTAAATGGTGTCAACTAGGATTGAATAATTCAGTTTACGGTTTAACTCTGGTCTAGTATATATTTTGGGTTTTATTTGATCGAGTTTCTAAAACTGAAGGTACATAGTAAAACGGTGTTTTAATTATTAATATTAAAAATAGAAGTGAATATAGTGGGGAGCTAGCAAATCATTGGGTAATTATCTTTGTATATACCGACATGAAAACATTATCTTTTCGAATAGTAGACTAATTGACATTATATAGTCTCTCTGACTAATTAAAGCAAAGGCTTAAGAGAATCCCGAACATGTCAAGACCGTAATCATTTAACGTACTATTCTCGTTCATTTTTCTTAGAAACGCAACATTTCTTTACGTACCATAAAGGCATAAACCAAAACTTTAATATAAAATAGAGGTGTACGACATAAAATTAAATCAGCTAGATCATCTCAAAGCTTATAACAATTGTACATGTTTTTCCTGGAATCTGAGACAACCTTGACACGTCCTATTGTCCTAATAGTTTTGTAACTCGTGCGGATAGAGATATCGACCGTCATATACTCATATTCTTAACATGCAAGGTCATAAGCTAGCTAGCCAAAAAACAATGCTTAGTGAGACGATCATTATTAATATCTTTAGCATATAAAAGTTGTATAATACAAGTATACAACCAATCTAGTTTACACACATACTGATCACATTAAGTAAACAATCAAACTAGCATGGTTCTTATTACTCTACACATTTGCGATTCCATTGATAGCTAGTACACACGGTCAATCACTCTTGTAACAACCATATGTCCCCAAATATTAACAAAATAATTGAATAGCTCATTTATTACGCGTAACACTTACTCGTAACGCGAGACCACGCTATGATGTCTTAGAACTTGGATTTTGATGTTACCTCCTGTACGATTACCATCACAATCAAAACCATGGTTAATTAAACTATTTGTTCTTTATTTGAATTAGAAACACGTTGACACTTTATAAATACAGGGTTCGTATACAACATATACTGTATACTGATTTAAGTTACCTTTCTGCATATTCTTAACATTCACCACACTATGAATATGAAATATGAAAATGTTTAGTAAGAAGACAACCACTCCCAATTCATTTTTACTATACACAATTAAATACGCTACTTAAGCATATAGCTGACCATTATTAATTGAAAATAGACTGAAATGAAATTATAAACATGCCATTCTACATAAATTTGTTTCGTGCATTACAAAATATCACTATTTATAAATAAAATCATAATCTTAAATGCGAGTGTATCATGTTATCTAGACGTTAAAGAACAAAAATATTCTACAATCAAATATTTGTTTTAAATTTTAAAAATCTGACTCTTAAATCGTCTAACCAAATATCAAGGTTTGTTACTGTTATCACGAGAGGAGAAAGATTTTTGTCATTTTTAGGCCTTTTTGGCTGTAACCAAATAAGAAGCTGAAAAGTTGTTCTTCTGCCTCCAATCATTCAACGTCCACCACAAATCACCCACACTAACGTGCGCATGACCCCACTCTCAAGTCTACAACTATCATGCGCGCGTTCTTTTTAATCGTTAGCTGACCTGTAAACAACCCGCGCATTTTAGCATATCATTCCGGACTCTTGGAATTGGAATTTGGAAACCCCCAAATTCAAGTTCGTTGACGGAGAAAGGCTCTCTGTTTTCTCTGCCTAATCGGTTTATTCATCTAAGCTCGTCCAGATTTTCGTCGGTAAGTTTTTTTCTTTCCGGATCTTATTTGACATCGAAGAACTCTCTCTGTCTTGTCTGTTTCAAGTAAACGAGATCGACCATTTTTTTTTGGTTTGTTGTTGTTTGTTTCGCTTGTTGAATTTTGATCTTCTATGGTAAAGTTTGAATCTTTGTGGTAGTAAATTAGGAATAGTTGTGGGTGGATCTCTTTGAAATGCTGAGTTTTACTAGTATATAGCAAGATTACAGTATCTGACAAGTGAAACTTACTTCTCAAGTTGAGTCTTTGTCCTAAAGTAGGCATCTTGATTTGATTGCGCATGTACTATAATGTGTTTTTCTTTGGAAACATTTTGAGTACCCGGATAACATTTCCAATTATGGGATTAAGTTTCCTTATTTACTTGGATGTTCTGGTTTTAGATGATGAATGATTGGTTTCATTTAGAAGATATAAACTTGTGGCAATTGTGTGAGAGAAAGAGAGAGAGAGAGGGTCTTAACTTGCTAGAGAGAAGAAAAGTGTTTATAAACTCCACTGGAAAGATAGTGCCTTTACTTGAGTATCTATTTTCTTATATAGTCACAAACTCACGATGTAATTGTTTTTGATTTCCACTTTCTGGATTGAATATTTCCTTGTTCCTAAGCAAAGCTTTGAAATTTTTTGAATTTCCAGGCCAAGAATGGAAGAAAGCATTCGGGAAGATGTGGATAATCACGGTGAAGCCTTGTGTAGTAGGAGTGAGGAGGAGCAAGAGATAGATGGGATGTTGAAGATGCTGACAAAACTAGAGTTAGACTCGGCTTATACTAGTGAAAAACTGCTGAACCTGCATGTTCTCCTTATGCACCTTTTGGCTTGGGATAATGATCTTGAAGGGATGGGGACACTTGATTCTTCTGCAGCATCGTTTGAAAAGGCTTTGACGTTTGATCTGTTATGCGGTGTATTGGAGTCTGAGTTAAAGGAGGTAGACGAGGTTTTGGATGAGCTGGAATCCCAAATCGTTGACACTTCTTATAAGTTATCTGCTTGCAAGCACGCAAATTATATCGTTATGGAAGGAAAGTTGGGTGAATCTGCAGAGTCATTGAAGCAGTCTAGGGGGCAAGTCTCAGAGATCACTTTGCAATTAGCCCAGCTCCGAAGAACACTTCATTACATAAGAAATGGAACAAGTAATCACTTATGATTGATGGTTTTTTGTTTTAAGTTTTGTGCTTTGAATCTCTTAGCTTTGTGGCTATTATTGACAAACATGTTGGCAGGTGAAAACGAGGAGTCAATGGAGCTTTCAGGAAACAGTCAAGATTTAAGGCAGAAATATGCGTTGAGACCATCGGATTTAAGGCATAAAAATGCTCTGAGGATGCTGGAGAAGTCATTGTCAAGAGAGCTAGAGCTTGAGAAGAAGTTGATGGAATTCCAGCAAAATGAAGAACAACTGAAACTCAAGCTACACTACACAGAGGAGGTATCTTCTCGGATGGAAGAAGCATCAGAGTTTATATGGGGACGGTTTTTAGAGGCAGAAAATTCTTCTGAGGTGTTAATGGGTATTTCAAAGGAACTTGTTGGTCGTCTTCAGATCATCCAGTTTAGTCAGAATGGATCAGCTCAACGGGAATCCGAACTTAAATTTAAGCTTAAAGACTGCACTGTACAACTCGAAGCGAAAGATCATTTGGTGCAAGAGCTTGAGGGAAGAATTGCAGAAAATAGAGAGATAGTCTCAGAAGTACTCTCTTTGAGGGAAAATGTGAAATCAGCTGAACAAAAGCTGAAGAATACCGAGCTTGAGCTGAAAAGTGTCAATGCATCTAAACAAGAAATTCTGGTACATCTTGCTGAAATGGAAAATGCGAATGAGTCGGTCAAAGAAAACCTTTTCGAGGCTGAAAGCAGAGTTGAGAGTGGAGAAACTAAGATTCAAGAGCTAACTGCTGCAAATCTTGAACTTACTGAGGAACTTGGTTTTCTCAAAGACGCTGATGACAAAAAGACAAAGAAGGTGAATTCCCTCGAGAAACAACTCAGGGAATTAGAAGTTCAATTACAAAACTCCAAGGTATCATCAGAAGCAAGTCAAGAACAGCAGAACATGTTGTATTCAGCAATATGGGATATGGAGACCTTAATCGAAGATCTGAAGTCTAAAGCCTCTAAAGCTGAGAGTAAAACGGAGACAGTTGAGGAGCAATGCATTGTGCTTTCTACCAAAAACTCTGTACTTAACAAAGAAGTGACCTTTTTGAGGCAAAGAGCTAAATCCTTGGAAGCATCATTGGATCTAGCAAACGATGAAAAAGAGAAAAATGCACAAGAAATAACTATGAGGAACAAGCTTTTGATGGATATGGTGATGCAATTATCAAGTGAAAGGGAACGTATACAAGAACAGGTACTTTTGGCTATGTGCCTAATTGTTTTCTTTATACAAGCAAAGGGACACACAAGCCAACCATTAATGTCGTTTTTGCAGCTACATTCTTTGGCGAAGGAAAATGATAAACTGAGAGTGAGTCAATGCTTAGCGGGAAATAAATACCAAATAAATGGACCTTATGCTGGTGAAAAAGAGCCGCCTCTTCACACAGATGGTCCCGAAATCGAGGCATTTGCTGAAAGTCTGCAGGCAGGTATTCAGTTTTTTGCTTCAGAAGAATGATGGACGAAGCAAAATGTAGATAATTATGGGATGTGAAAACCAGAACATCTCTTGTACTAATCTTATGTGTTATTTGCTCTCTTTGAACAGGGGGATGAGAGAACAAGGGAAGTACCAGAAACTGATGTTGAACCAGAGGACCATTATACGTCTGAAAATAGTAGCATGAACGCAGAGATGAGAAGAGCAAGCAAAATGAGATGGATAGCAGTTTTGGCCACAGCTTTTGTGCTGTTTCTTTCATTCTTTGCTATGGCTATTGTTAAAGAAAAATATAGTTCAATTTGAAGATATGTTTATCTCTCTCTTGGCAATAGCATTAACCATTTGTATATTGTGTTGTAAATACTCATTATGGCTTGTATTCATTTCAAGCAATGTATCTCCACTGTTGGTTTATTTCCCTCTATAGAAACAAATCCGTCACCAATGAAGTTTTCCTAAAATTGAGAGATCTCAAGCTGGAGTAGTAACGCACAATGCGTAATCAAATAGTATCTGACTAAACTTGGTAATACCTTCAAACAAAACATTTGTTTTCGTTTAAATTTATTCTATAAAAGAAGAAGACAATCCGTTTCTCTTATCATCATCACTTACACAATCAAATAATAAGTAAAAGATTTTGAGGTTCCAAATTAGAAATGGAGAAAACGTCTCTCAAGCTTGTCTTCTTGTTCTCCCTCACAATCATATTATTTTGTATGCTTCTTCTATGATGACTTCTTCTTTACTATATATAGTTTTTGCTATGGTCTTTTTTTTTGATGTTGTTGTGGTGTGTTTTTGCAAAAGTTCATCTTTGGGTGATGCGAGAGAGATGGTGAATTGCCTTGGTGGTTACTGCTTGCTGCAAGTAGCACATACAATGGACATTTATGAGACCAATGCATCTTGCCATAGCGACAATGACTGCATCCAGTATTGTCCTAAGGGCTGCAAGATTGTTAATTGTAATTTTGGAACTTGTTTCTATAAGTGTTAAGAAATTGGAAACCACCATAATTTCTACCTATAAGACAGAGAGGAACAAAAGATTTCAAATAGATATATAAAATTGTTTAAATCTTACTATTCTCTTGGAAAATAATATCTCTGCACTACTCAAAACAGTTGGGATTATTATATACAATTAAGTACTGAAGGCCTGAAACATGTTCCAAAACATGTTTTCTTGTGGCCACAAATATCATCTTTTTGGGAGGTAAATTTCAAATCATCATTTAGATCAACTAAATTACTAACATTATCCCTGTTGACCGATTGCCACATGGGGTCAATCGTTCCTAAATTTTGGTTTCTTAGCCGCATGCAATACCCATGTATCAGAGAGAATTTTAATTCCTCACTATAGCCATGTTATGGCTTTAGCTGACAGCACGCTTCTTATATTTGGTGGGATAAACGGTAAGAATATCTATGTTTTCACCGTAGATATTCTTACTGTTTATCCCACGAATATGAGAAGTATGCTGGCCTAAACTCGATTTCTTTAGGCCTAAAACTCAAATTTTTTTGAAAAAATTGTTGATTTATAATTGAGCCCAATAGTAAGCCTACAATTTCTTTGAGAATAAAGAGTGGATGATGATTCTTATTTATAAGCAATTTTCCTTCTCATTTTTTTGATTTCATCGATGTGGGATAAAGTTTCATACAATTTTTTTTATAAAAAATTGGGTTTTTTTCGCTGCCCCTAAAAATATTGTTATATGGGCTGTCGTAAAGCCCATGAAGCATGGACTTTAGCCTAGGGCCAGCTCTGGAGAGAGTCACCGAGATTTTTACCATCTCAAAAACCTTAAAATGCGATTAGAGGCAAATCTTCTTTGGAATCTTTACCTCAGGAACTTTAGAAATCGGGATGTTACAGTTTTGATCTCTATCAATTTTGGGAAGACCTTTACTATAAACGTAGCTCCTTAGATTCTAGAGCAAAAACCATCAAGACGTTGAAGCTCTTCGTCTTTGGAGCTAAGATCAACCACCTCATTTTGAAGTCCTATGTATGTACGCCGTCTAGAATATGGCTAAGTCTTTGTTGGCTGCAGAACGCTCCTCCATCCTCTTTAGCAACATCATCTTGAACTGCTTCGAGTGCTAACAATTTGTTTCTCATGACCGGAATATTCTCCTCTAGCTCACTTATACGTTTTCTGATAGACTCCAAGTCCCAATGGCTTTTATGTGAAGGAAGAAGAGAATTAAGAGTAGAGGAGTCGAGAGAGAGCAGAAGGTGGTTGAAAGTGGCTTAAGTGTCGTACAAGGGTTTTACGTAAGAATGACGATTTAATACACTAAATTATTCTCAATACTATGTGGTTTAATTTCAAGAATACTTATGAGTGTGTATTTACATTCCCATTTTAGGGTTCCTTATCTAATGTCCAGAACACTCTAACCTCACTCTCTTCTTATTCTTCTCTTCTCTCTACAAATATTCTTATTTGTTTGGCTTGATCTAACATTTTGCTTTTCCTCATCTTTTCTTTTGACAAAAAAACTCATGTTGTTTTTTTCTTTTAGAACCAATAGCTTGTTTTCTTTCTTTCTATTATATAGTTAAACAAATTATTTTGTCATGCACTATAATGTTCAAATATTTTGAAGATTCGTCACATTTTACTTAACCAAATACTTTATTTTGGTAGTACTCCGCCATATAAGCGTTACTCTGGCTCAGCTTTGATCCAAAATCTGTGGGGGGGCCTTAATATTTTCACATACCCAACAAGGATTCGACTGAAACGTGTGAACCATCTACTAGCTTGCTTCATAAACTCTAACTGAGGAAGGGCTCTTTTCGCCAGTTTTGAATAAGATCAATGGTGCTGATAAACAAACTAGATTGTGACTCAGCTTGTAAAGAAGACTTACAGTTTTCATTGTTTTTCATGGTGAAAGGGAAGGGAGAAGGAAGTTGCAATATTTTCATGCGTCAGAGCTAATGATAAAGGAGAAATCGGATTTCCCTCTAATTCTCGGCGGATGAATGTTGGAATTACACGAGCTAAGTCTTCTGTATTGGTAAGAAAACATAAAAGAAACATTTCATAGACACTTTTCTCTGGCTTCTCTGCATATTTTATACAATCTTTCTATGTTATATTTCACTGATACATTCTCCACTGAAACTTGCAATCAGGTCGTTAGTTCAGCTGCAACATTAAAGAGCGATCCGCTATGGAAAAACCTCGTAGAAAGTGCTGAGAAGAGAAACCGGTTGTTCAAGGTAAAAACCTTCATTGCGTTTATGTTAAAAGTATCAACCTTGCTGCAACATATAGGGATTAAGAAAGAAGAATCTTTTTTTTTGGGATGTTTTGTAGGTATCAAAGCCATTGACCATTTTCTTCAGCGAGGAGAATCTGGAGACGATGAAAGTGACGGAGAAGGACATGGAGATTCCTGATGCACCAGGTTTTGAAGATGAAGCTTCTCCAGTTGCAAATCACGGTGGAGATGATGACAACGACTTTGGAGATGGTGATGCTGATCAAGACGATGCAGCTTTCGCGGAAGAAGACTAAAAAGCTATAAAGACGCATGTTGGGTTCTAATTTTTGTATGGTCTTTTTGGTTTAGATTAGTTAAGTTGACAATAAATATCTTTACTTTCTGCTACAATGATCTCATTATATTTTCACTATTTAAAGAACACATGCACAATTATTTTAGGTATAGAAAACAAAAAGATGATATTTCTAGAATCCATTATCATAATTTGGATAAAACTATAAGATATTATAACAGGTTTTTTTTTTGGGTATTTTACAAGAAAATCTGTTTTATTACTTCAAGTTTTCTATACATTTTTAATCTGGTTTCACATATATAGAAGAGAAACCAAACTGCATATATACCATCATATTAAATGAGATGTTTTACGATTCCAGAGCTAAAACGTTGGCTGAGGAACTAGCTGCCAAAGTAAGTCGAGCAATAAAAACATTCTTCCACCAGTAGAGATAATTTTTACTAAACATCAAATAAAAGATAACTAAGACATTTTGAAAAGCATTTCCATGGAGTATCCACAAGCCGCCTCTATATCTCTTCTCTCACAGAGACAGAGTTAGGTTTTCTCCTGTTCCCACATTGTAATGTGCAAGTGACATGTTCTCGTCCTCTAAAAACCCTTCCTTTCCACTTAACTTGAGGCTGTCTACAGGAATTTGGATCTCCCCAGCTATTTTCTCCTTCAAACTTGCCACGTTTTTTTAATAAAGACTCCACTGTGATCCAGTGGCGGAGCCAACCCAAAATTCTACCAGGGTCAATTTAATTTACTCAACTGATTAAACAAATATTACGAGGGTCAATAAACTGATTTTACAATATTTAACTAATTTTTCTTTTCAAATTACAAGTAAATATTTTTGGTAACAAAAATCCACATAGGTCATTTGACCCCCCTCCAGAAGAGCTACCTCCGCCACTGCTGTGATCTCAATGACATTGGAAACAGACACCCTAATTGTAGTTGGACCCTGAAAATGTAAACTCCAAAATATTAGATCCAACTCATAGACGAAAGAAAAAAAAATGACGTACAAGAAAACATCACCGAGTGTTGAGCAAGAAACTGATTTTCTGGAACAAGGCCTAGCTCGTCAAACTTTTGTCTCTTTGGCTCTAGTAATTCATCCTCAGTTCCAGGTGGTGACAGGTCTTGACCAGCCTCCTTGCTAGCAAAACCCTTCTCCACAGAAGCATGCCAATCAGTCATAGCCTTCTCCACTCCCTTGGTCTGCCAATCAAACTCTTGGGAAGCATCCCATTGAAGACAGATGAGAAAACCATAAGTAATGGCCGCCATATAAGCATTACTCTGGCTCAGATTTGGTCCAAAATCTGGTGGGGGGGGGGGCTTAATATTTTCGCATACCCAACAAGGATTCGACTGAAACGTGTGAACCATCTACTATCTTGCTTCATCAACTCTAACTGAGGAAGGGCTCTTTTCGCCAAAATAGTACTTTATTTTGGTAATACTATTGAATAATTTATGAAAGTAGATATAAGCGTATTATATAATACATGACATAATTTTCATAGTTAGGTTTATAGCATACACATAACATTATATGGATTATATATTATGCGAGAGACAAAGAGATATGAAGCAAACCTAACTTCTGAAAACCTAGAAAATAAAAAAAGATTTGACTTATTTTTCCTATTTTGTTTTGACCAAAAAAAAACTTGCATTGCTTAATCTGTCTTTTACAAACAATAACTTGTTTTTGCTTCCCGCCCAACAAATGTTTTGTTTCAATTTAAGTGTCAATATCTCTTTCTCCTTATTTATTATTATTATTAATTACCAAGTGGTTGATCAATGCTTTTAATTCCGCTCCAATTCGAAGCTTTAGAACTTGTCGTATTAGATCATTGAACCTTGTATCTTCATTCGTTATCTTTTGAATTCACATCTAGGATTTTTCTCTGTGATTGTATGAGCTTTAACTCGTCTTTTTGTAAATCTCTTGAATTATTATAAATTGATTTCATGAAAAAAATATCTCAAGTTGGATTAATTAATCTATATATTTATTTGTATAGTGATTTGCTTATGTGTTGGGTTCACAGCGAGTTTAACAACCTTTCGCTTACGTGTCAGCTTCAAAATAATTTTTGGCTGTAAAAATACCATTTAGCCCTATTTTGCAGTTACATGTCTTTTTTTTTTATTGGTTCTTATGTGAAGATGTGTAAAAAAAACTTAAAACCAACCAGTCTAAATTGTTATGATTTACTGTTTAATTTCATAGTCAATCAAACCGTTTTTAAAATTATATTTAATCGAAATTATTTTTTTTAATAAAAACGTTTATTAATAAAAAATAGAATTTATATCTCTTAGTGTTTACCATTTCTTATGTTTCTGAAATTTAGAAAAAATCTAACAAAAATATTAAAAATGACATACAAGAAAAAAATGACGTACAAGAAAACATCACCGAGTGTTGAGCAATAAACTGGTCTTCTGGAACAAGGCCTAGCTCATCAAACTTTTGTCTCTTTGGCTCTGGTAATTCATCCTCAGTTCCAGGTGGTGACAGGTCTTGACCAGCCTCCTTGCTAGCAAAACACTTCTCCACAGAAGCATGCCAATCAGTCATAGCCTTCTCCACTCCCTTGGTCTGCCAATCAAACTTTTGGGAAGCATCCCATTGAAAACAGAGGAGAAAACCATCAGTAATGGCCGCCATATAAGCGTTACTCTGGCTCAGCTTTGGTCCGAAATCTGTGGGGGGCCTTAATGTTTTCGCATACCCAACAACGATTCGACTTGTGAACCATCTACTATCTTGCTTCATAAACTCTAACTGAGGAAGGGCTCTTTTCCCCAAAACAGCTCCTTCGATCTATAGAACAACATCCAAATTCCATTATCCACATTATTAAACAATGTTGAGTTTATGACAAAGGGAACCCACCTTGTTGCTACACCTCAAAGCTATGTAAAGTGCTATTTTTGCTCCCATGGAATACCCAACTATGGTAACTTTCCCAGGAGTGATTTCGTCAATCAACTTATACAGTGTCTTTGCTATCATATACATTGAGAAAGTCGGAACCTTCAGGGTCTCACTAGCATGACTTTGTACCCTTGAGTTTCCGTGGCCAGGATTATCAACTGAAATGCATCTCGCGGATCCCGAGATACCTTTCATGATGGGGATCCATTTTTCACCAGTTCCAAGAAACCCATGAAGAAACAAAGCTACACCTCCTTGAAATACATTGCATCAGAGTGAAAAACAAGGGAGAAATGGAACAAGAACAACAAGTTCACAAACAATGACAAACTTACTTCTGCATTCTGCCCAATGTCATGGATTCTTATAAAATGAGATTAACCATCTACATCAACTCTCACTTCATATCTCCGGACAGGAACTCCTTTACTGGTTCTAAAAATAACATCGTTGTTTATCTTAACATCCTTTAGATTTTTACTAGCATCGGAAACAAATCCTTCCTCAAATCCACTGTACGGGCTATGAAATATTCCTCGACTATTCAACATTACGTTTTCATGAAGCCATCTGTAGGTTCCAAGACCATGGGCTATAAGAGGGGCCATCCCTTGCTTTTTCTCTCTAGTTGTTTTGACCTTCTCCATCTCCAAATATGGTGCAAACAAAATATATGCTGATAAACCTAGGCCACTTTCGTATGCGACACTTATAACAGCCATCTTTCCATGATGATGTGCCCAGCGAGCAATCAGTGCTGCATTCTCAAACCCTCCCACAACACTTGGTTTAATAACCTTAGGAATTTATAGTTTAATAACCACTAATAAAGTTTTCCTAAAATTGAGAGATCTCAAGCTGGAATAGTAACGCACAATGTGTAATCAAATAGTATCTCACTAAACTTGGTGAAACCTTCAAACAAAAGATTTGTTCCGTTTTAACTTTCTTCTATAAAAAAAGAATGAGTCGGTCAAAGAAACCTTTTCGAGGCTGAAAGCAGAGTTGAGAGTGGAGAAGCTAAGATTAAGGAGCTAACTGCTGCAAATCTTGAACTTACTGAGAAACTTAGTTTTCTCAAAGACGCTGATGACAAAAAGAAAAAGAAGGTGAATTCCCTGGAGAAGCAACTCAGGGAATTAGAAGTTCAATTACAAAACTCCAAGTTATCATCAGAAGCAAGTCAAGAACAGCTGAACATGTTATATTCAGGAATATGGGATACAGAGACCTTAATCAAAGATCTGAAGTCTAAAGCCTCTAAAGCTGAGAGTAGAATGGAGACAGTTCAGGAGCAATGCATTGTGCTTTCTACCAAAAACTCAGTACTTAACAAAGAAGTGACCTTTTTGAGGCAAAGAGCCAAATCCTTGGAAGCATCATTGGATCTAGCAAAGGATGAAAAAGAGAAAAATGCGCAAGAAATAACTATGAGGAACAAGCTTCTGATGGATATGGTGATGCAGTTATTAAGTGAAAGGGAACATATACAAGAACATGTACTTTTGGCTATGTGCCTAATTGTTTTCTTTATACAAGAAAAGGGACACACAAGCCAACCATTAATGTTTTTTTTGCAGCTACATTCTTTGGCGAAGGAAAATGAAAAATTGAGAGTGAACCAATGTTTGGTGGGAAATAATTACCAAAGAAATGGACCGTATGCTGGAGAAAAAGAGCCGCCTTTTCACGCAGATGGTCCCGGAATCGAGGCATTTGCTGAAAGTCTCCAGGCAGGTATTCAGTTTTTTTGCTTCAGATGAATGATGGACGAAGCAAAATGTAGGTTATTATGGGATGTGAAAACCAGAGCATCTCTTGTACTAATCTTATGTGGTATTTGAACAGGGGGATGAGAGAACAAGGGAAATACCAAAAACTGATGTTGAACACGCGGACCATTCTACGTCTGAAAAGAGTAGCATGAACACAGAGATGAGAAGAGCAAGAAACTTGAGATGGATACCAGTTTTGGCCACAGCTTTTGTGCTGTTTCTTTCATTCTTTTTTTTGGCTGTTGTTAAAGTAAAATACAGTTTAATTTG